TGTCCACTATTACTTATAAAAGTGCAGGCCATATGGCTAGATTCTTAAGTTCTGATAAAAGTTTTATGAGAGATCCATTTGCTTTAAAAATTTCTACTTTGGTTCGCTACCACTAGAAAGAATTATTTTCAAAATCCTCATAAGTTGGAGGGTATGTATATATATATAAAGAGAGAGAGAGAGAGGGAGAACGAAAACGAAAATGGGGGCATATAAAATAATGAGACTCTTACCAGTCGTTGTGTCCCACAATTTGAGACTCCTGTCCTGAGACATTGAATCCCAAGTTAGAAATGTTTTATTCACTGCCGTTTCAATCCTACTCACATAGCAGGAAGGATCAAAAATCGAAAACCTTTAAAAAATATAATAAAATACAAAATATTAATTTTTAAAAAAACAAACCTGAATACATTTAAAGCAAGCAATAACACTGAGTGTACCAAATTTCAAGAAAGAAGTAGTTTTGATTGAAAACACAGATTTTTGATTAAAAATTGTGATTTTTTATTGATTCATAAGGCATAGCTAGCAGTGTAGGGTTATTTATGTAGCAAATGGAGTCTATGATTTTACTGGCGCGTGCTAACTCGATTGTTGAAATTGTTATTGGCCTTTTTGCATAAACGTGGCTGAATATCCTTCATGTTAACTTCTTTGAGTGAGTCGCTGTGGATAGCATATTTTTTAGAATTCTTGTGGGGAAAAAAGTGTGTACATTAGTGGTCGTCAACTAATATTTAAAAAAAAAATTCAAATGCGATAAAAGAGCCACGATGGCTCAGGGAGATGGATCCGTGATGGACAGAGTGTTCACCTTTCAATGAGGTGAACCGGGTTCGAATCCCTGCGATGGCTGGTCGATACGAATTCCACATCCGGCTTGAACCGACCAAAGTGCTGACATAAAATATCCTCACTGGTAAACACGGATCTTGGGTTAGTTCTCTTGCCGTCAGACTAACCGTGGGAGGTTCTCGTGTTCTTCCTCTCCATGTAACGCAAAGTGGGTTAGTTCCATCAAAAAGTCCTCCACGACGGCCAATTTCTCCCAATACTTGATCCAGGAGTTTCCTTGTCTTCTGAATCGGGTTCAAAATGACGAGGATACGGAGTTGAACATTGGTAGTCATAGACCCAGAATTGAGTTTGCTGTTCAAACACTGTTGTAAAACAAAAATAAAAAGAAATGAAAATGTCTTGAATGACGAAAGTGGGATGAATAACATCAAAACAAATTGGATTATTTGAGAGCATTTAAACTTTCAGCATCCCTTAAGTTCATTATCGCTAAAAGCAAAACTCAAATTTTATCTCACGTTCTAACTTAAAATACATCTTATTACCAGTTGAAAACCAATAAGTAGCATTATTCTTTTTAAGTAATAAAAAATATCCTAATTTTTTTTTATGTGTATAAGAACTCCTTACGTATTAATTTGAAACTCCAATGAGTAGAGTATTTTTCACAACGATTTTATAACTCTGCATGAAAGGTGGTGATTACGGAACACCCTGCTACATCAAGAAAAGTAACAATTACCCTTCTTCTCCAGTAAACATGTCCCATCCGTAAATGTCACCTCTCTCTGTCGTCACAATGACTCTTTCACTCTCTTGACACAATCCTATGGCTGTGATATTGCTGTCCGGTTTCACATCCCACATAATGCATCCCGTAGTTGTATCATAGGTCGACAGAAAACTCGTACTCGGCGTCAATAAATCCTGGAAAGAATATGTATTTGTATTACTTCATATGATAAATATGACCGAAAAATCAATTGAAAATAATAATGTTAAAGAACTGCTCAATTAGCTGTATTGTGCATAGGAAGCAAGATAGAATTTACCCTAAATTTTAAAATAAGTTTTAGAGTTCATCAATAGACGGCGCTGCTAACTACGAAAACTATGAAGCAATGTTTTCAGCTACGTGGGAGACCTTTCTAATTCAACTGTAAAATGAGGGTCATTAAATGAAAATTTAAAAAAAAAAATTCAATTTTTATGATATTAAGACCTATAACATTTATGTTATTCAGAGAATGTACGTTTTTGTGTCTGATTTCTCATTTTATAATATAGTCTGCACATATTAATTAGTTCACTCCCTCTAACCATTAAAAATGAGTCATGGACGTGAAGATCCGATCATTATGTCAAAAGTTATTCAGGGTGATCCTTTTTTGGCGCATTGTTGTACATAACAAAAAGCAAACTTAGTGGTACACATATAAATATTTATACATATATCAGTTTTATATGTTGTACTAAAAGTTTCGAAGCAGTCAAATTTACATCGGATCAACAAAAAAAAAAAAAGAAAATAGAAGCATTCAGTATTTATTTTTTCTTTAAAATCAATCACCAAGAATATAGTAATTGCAATGTTTGATTTCAGTTTTGTATCAAAAAATAAGGCCCAGATATGATTCAAATCGCAAATTATAAATGACAAATTCTTAGCGACTGTACCCCTTATGAAACAAAGAAGGTTGTAAAAACATTTTCTGCATTCATAGTTGCCGAGAGCCACAATGAATTCAGATTTGAGGAAAAAAATAGAATTATAATTTTTAAGGAGAAACTTTTTTGTTTCACACTCTATTAAAACATAAAAGAGAAATTGAATTTTGTTATCTTTATTTAATAAATTACAATAAAAAATAGTTTTTGTTCTAAAAATTTTTAATACATTATTAATAATGAATGTCTATAATGGGTAAAAATTAAAGTTGTTAACGAAACGTTTACACTTGATTTTGGCGATTTCGCTGATTTTCCCCATTTGGAATACACTCATGTCCATACATTAAGGATAAGGAAGTTCAGGCACAGAAAGAGACAAAAGCCAAACAGATTTGACTTATTTGTAAAGTCTATGTATTAAACAAAAGGTAAAGAGCAAAAAAGATGCTATATGTTTGACATAATTAATAAAAATTGCGATATTTACTCCCTGGAGCAAATTTCAAAAAAGAACCTATTTGCAAAAAACAGTATAACATGGTTAATATGGAGTATGTCTCCCGGACGATGCAAAGGCCGTACAACGCCTAGGCATGCTGAGTATCAAATTATCAATCTGATCTTGGGGAATATTACACCACTCATCAAGCAATACCCTCCGAAAGTCCGGTAGACAGGTGGGAGGGGGTTGACGGGCTGCAATTCGTCGGTCAAGCATATCCCACACATGCTCTATTGGATTCAAGTCCGGTGAGTATGCTGGCCAATCCATACGGGTGATATCCTCCGATTGAAGGCATTCGTCTACAAAGCTTGCACGGTGAGGACGGGCGTTGTCGTCCATAAACAGAAATTCAGCACCCATGCCCCCCCGAAACAAACGTACATGTTGTTCCAGAATGACATCCCTATAGATGTGGCCTGTCATCGTTACACTCTGAACATGCAGGTCAGTTCTGGAACCAAGAATAATTCCTCCCCAAACGAGCCATCCTGTACCACCGTAACGAGATCGTTCAATGGTGTTGTCTTGGTGGTAACGGGTACCTGGCGCTCTCCATATGAAAGTCCGGCTAGAATCAGACTGCAAACTAAACCTGAACTCGTCGGAAAACATCACACAAGACCACTGATGCGGTGTCCACAATGCATGCTCTCTACTCCAGGCTAATCGCAGGCGACAGTGAGTTGCGGTAAGTGGAACACATCTGACAGGCCTACGAGCATATAAACGAATGTGCCCTAAGCGTCTGTACACGGTCTGCCTTGAAACTGTCGTACTAGTAGCTGAAGACAGCTGACGAGACAGGTCTGATGCTGTGCTCCGTCTGTTCCTTTTGGCAGTAACTGCCAAATACAGGTCTTCATTCGCCATTGTAACTCGGTGGCGACCTGTGCTGTAACGTCTACTCACATTACCACCATCTTGGAATCGTTGCCAAAGCCTGGAGATGACACTCTGGGTGATTCCAAGTTCCTCGGATACTTCCAGCTGGGTACGTCCACATTCCAGTCGTCCGATGATTCTGCCACGTAAAAAATCATCCAAATGCTTCCTTTGTGCCATAACTATGCGGTTAGGCAAGGTTAGCACGGAAAGGCTTTTAAAGCGCTTGTGAACAATTTTACTTCCTTGCCACCATTCCTTATATACCCCTCTCTTACACTCTCGCCATTGTGACGTACTACCAGCGTCATCTAGTGGTTTCCTGTATTTTGCATATTCTTCTTCAAGATGTGTGTGACAATTCTACAGGTGAAATTTCAATTTTAGAGTTTGATTTCCCTGTGATTCTGAATTATCCTTAATTTATGGACATGAGTGTATTTGGAATTGCGCTAGAATCCGTTGTTATCGCGATTTTCATTCGTGTAATTTTAAATATCAAACATTAATCTCCGTATTTACCTATTTTAAAAGTTACACGTTACGATTCGTATTTACGTAGTACATCGCGATTCGTATTCACGAGATTTAAAAGTTCAATATAGAGATTTGTGTTCACACTTTTTTAAAATCAATTTCGCGATTCGTATTCACGCGAGTTAAAAACCCAAAGTCACAATTCATATTAACTCGTTTTTAAAATCCAATATTGCGATATGTATTCCTGAGTTTGTAATATCAAGCATCGATTTACGTATTTATGCTGGATCTAAAAAAGCTAAGCATTGCGATTCGTATTCACGCATTCTAAACATCATGCATCGCGATTCCTATTCATTCGTTTTTAAAAACCAATATCGCGATTTTAAAATCCAATATCACGATTCATATTCTCTAAATTTTAAAGTTCAATATTGCGATTCATATTCATTCTATATTAAAATCCAATATTGAGATTCATATTCAAACAATTTTAAAATGCAATATTGCGATTGTTGCAAGAACTTTTATTAAGTTTATTAGATTTTTCTTAAATTCGTTACTATAAAAGTGCGATATTCTTCTTTGGTAGGTAATTTAATTATAAATCTTAATTCAAAAAATTATGTTAAATATGAAACATGTATGGTATATAAATTGCACATAAAATTTTCATAGTTTTTCACTTTCTGTCACAATGACTCCTGTCTGGTGTCACGAGGGTGCCAAAGACCTTTTTGACATTAAAACTTATCATTTTCTGTGTGTACAGAAGAAAGGCTTTATTTCTAAATAAATTAGAGACTGACCTTTGAAAGAGCGAAGAGCAGTCTTCCATCGTAGTTGATCTTGCTGTTTCTCGTCAGGAACTCGTGGTGCGGAAGAGAGATTTGTCGTAGGAGAACTCCCGTCTGGACACTCCAAATGAGAAGAGGATAGGGCTTCTGAAAAGTGTCGCCACAAACACACACCTCACCGTTGTCACTGACAAGTAGGCAGTGCAATTGCCTGTGTACAGAGAAGGACTCATGTACCTATAGGACCATAAGATCGCACTTATAAATGCAAACTGAAATGAGTGTCTACTGTCATCAACCTTTCATTCATATTTTGATTCATGTTATGTTATTTTAACGCGATGTAAGATACCTAATTCTACACGTGATGCAAATCCCTTTTTAGATAAACATAAAATTGTGTGAATTAAGGATATAGAAAATAACTAACATTCTACCAACATTAAGCGACCATCTTTGGCCACCTTTCAAAATGACGATGGATTGTTTCTTAAGTCAGGGCCGTTTGAAAATAAGAACCAAACTGAAGGAAATTTTCATGAAACAAATTTATCTTTTGATTCTACATACGTTTCTCTTTTTTTCAAAACAGTTGCCAAGTTTTTTTAAACACCTATCATACATTACAACTAGATTTAGAATATTCTCTTCATAGTAACTTGCCGATTGCTCCGATAACCAAGAGGTCACGTGTTTTCACTTCTTTGTCATCTCTGTACTGGTTGCAACCAAAGTGATGTTTGAAACGTAGGAAAGGAGGAAAATCACTTAGCGCAAGGTCTGGGGTGCATTGAGGGTGGTCGAAAACTTCCCAGCCTAAAGAGTCCAATAAAGCTCGGGACTGGGCGGAGGAGAGAGTCATGAAGTATGCAGCAGGTTGGTTTTTCTGCCAACTAAAAACGCATTACTGACCGTATCTCATACGCATTTCTTTAACTTGAACATTTTAAAGACTCAGAGCTGACAGTACAGGTTACCTACACAGCTGTAACTGAGCACAGTTGTTCCCAAGGCATGTTAAGATACGACGCAACCACTCGTTGCGACGCACGATAAAGCGGCCCTTACTTTAAAATAAAAAAAAACAGCCCTCGTATCTTGTACAACATAGAAACGTTAATGGTAGCCCAGCACAGCACAACTATATTTAAATATACTATTTTTAAGGAAATATTTCATTCTTCAACCCCTCCTACAATCCGGGCACTTTTAATTAGTTTTAAGCAATATATTAACCAAGTTTTTTCACCGTCTAACTGTTGCCTGCCTGAGGCTTTGCCCAAGTAGAAGTATATTAATTTCAATTTTAACTAATATCAAGAGATGTCTGCAATACTATCAATGTTCTTCAAGAATTGAATTTTAGTAATGAGTAAAAATTTGTCCGTCAGCCGTTAAATGACACAAACCACCGTTTGGGGTACTTCAGCATAATAGGCAACAGAAATATTAAAACAATTAAATACGAAAAATATTAATAAAGAGGAAAATCTTGTAATATATTCTTATACAACTGAGAAGGGTCAAAGACATGGAACAGGTGTTCTCTTCATATGGCGTATTCAAACGTTGCGATTGTGAATTAAGATTAGATTGCTTTAATTTATTGTCAGTGTTTCAAACTTTTTTCATATTGTGCATTTATATAGAAGAAAAAAAATTTCTAATCAATTTCATATCTTTCATTTTATTTACTGTTGTTTATTTCAGTTCGAAACAGAGAAAACAAAATATATAAATGCTTTACACAATTAATTTTTTAGCTTAAAAACAATAATAATAATATATGTAACTTTTAATATGTATTTCATTCAGTATTGAAATAAATTTAATAAGAAAAAAAATAAGAAGAAATTAAAATATTTAAAATAAATCGTAATTTACTTTGCAAAATGCATTTTTGTTTTCATTAATAAACGACTTTCTTAACGAATTTAATATCTTTGCATTTCATCGAACTAAATAAAACAAATGACCAAACGGTTGTAAAGAGCTTTATAAATTCAATTAGAAATAATAAAAGAAATCGATAAACTTATCATTGAATCAATCTAACCGATAGTTAATCTTTTTACCGTACGTGGCGCTACAAACGATAGGGCCAGAGTGTTGCCATTTAGACGCGCAGTGATTAAAAAATGCGTCATCTTTATATATGCTCTAGCATCGAAGCAAAACCTCTTTATATATTTCGCCGTAATAAAATCTTAACGTATAACTAACTATTCAGATCTACTTAAATTATTACTTAAGACAACCTAACAAAATGAATGTTTGTAAATAAGTTTGTTTATATTGTATTGTGAATGTTTGTATTTCTTATAGTACTTAAATTATTACCTAAGACAAACTAACAAAATGAATAGTAACTACAGTGTTGCCAATCGATAGAGAAATACGCGAGTTTATGGCGCCACATAAGAAAAATATAGGTATGTATAGACGATTCTTATTAATGAGCTTGTGCTATTACAAAAATAGTAAGAACACATTGAAGATACGTGAAAGAAAATATTAAGTGAATTATGTAACCCTTTAGTAAGTCTTTAACTCTTTCTCATTTTGATTCCAGGTATTTCCTGATATCTTGGACATAACTTTAAGTATTTTCCTGCTTTTGTTTAGTTCTCTTCTAAGAGAAAAAAAAGTGTGTGATAAATTTGGAAAGTGAGGTAAATGATTCACCTTCGCAACCTCTGAAAGTGAAAAATTTGTTATAGGTACAGTTCGTTCATCAGGAGTTGGCACTTGGCTCCATATCCTCGGATACAAAATTCATTTCAGTGCGAGAGAAGAAACATCTCCACGCTTGAAATTAAGGCAACCCTTGATGCGCGCCAAACACAAACAGTGAATTCTTTTTCAGTCATTTACTTCGCTTTGTCATCTGTTAATTTTACCTTTCCTTACTCTAGGTAATTAAATATATTTTGAATTTAAAAACGGCTGCTTTTCCAGCAAAATGTCTCAGAAAAGACAAAATATTCTCTCAAAAGAGAGAAACATCATAAAAAATGCAACCAAATTTTGAGAAGATGTAGCCAGAGCGGGAACGTTTTCAATTCCGATTTTACAAAATCAGAAACGTGCTGCTACAGCTACTGACGCTTCGTTTCGAACAATTAAGCCAACTAAAAAAGAAGATATCTCCAGTTATCTTCACCGGGAAAACATCGTTAGCTGCGTCCTGGTTGTAGAAACGCAAATTTTAGACAATTTTGATCTCTGTGTTCTTCGAAACACAGTGAATGAATTTTATGTTAAAAAAAAAATTCCATCTTTATCCCGATTGCTTTCTAAGGAGAAAAAAGTATACATTTTCCATAGAAAAGAGGAACTCTGTGGAAATATCTCCATAGTGCAGGTTTTCAGTATAAACGTTCCGAAGACCACAGGCATATATCAATGGAACGATCACGCATTGTAAGATGGAATTTCTCAGAGAAATAAGAAAATTTCGAGAAGAAAAAAGGAACATCATTTATTTAGATGAAACATGGCTGGACAGCAATCTTTCTTTCAAAAAATGTTGGACAGATGAAAAAGCTGCTGTTACTATCAAAGATAGCGCAGGATATCGCCTGATTGTGGAACATGCTGGCTTCAAATCTGGTTTCATCCCGAATGCCGGCTTGATATTTAAAGCGGGAACTGCTTCTGGAGATTGCCAGGGACAGATGAACTTTGAAACTTTCGAAAAATGGAGAAGCTGTTACCAAGTATTCCTCCGAATTCGATCATCGTTATGGATAATGCAGCTTTTACCAGACAAAAGTGCTGAATCTTGTACCAACAAAAAGTTCAACAAAAGGTAAAATGTGAGTCTGGTTAGAGAAAAAGCAAATTATACACAATTAAAAAATGCAAAAAGTTGATTTAAAAAAAAAAATAATTACAGCAAATGCACCAGCGGGAAAATTTTTTGCATTAAAGAACTTTTATAAGAACAAGGCATGATGTTTTGAGACTCCCCCCTTAACATTGTGACTTAAATCCCATAGAATTAGTTTGATATATAACGTTAGTTAGAGAAAGAAATGTGACCGCTCATATGAGCTTACAACGTCTTTAAAATCTTGCTTCAGAAGCCATGCAAGATATTGGGATTGAGAGATGGAAAATGCATTGCACACATATTGAAAACATTGAAAAAAATTATTGTTAAATTGACGGAATTGTCGAAGAAGTAGTGGAAAATATTCTTTTTCCATCGATTCTGATTCTGGCACTGAGAGAAATTCTAGTAGTGATAGTTTTGACGATGAAATTTAACTTCACCTTGTACCTCGTAGATAAATCATACATTCTTGCAACGTTCATTTGACGATGGGGTCTTTTGGATCTGGTGTAGGCTTTCTTACACCAGGAGGATGAGTAACAACAACGCTCATTTTTAAGCAAAGCAAAGTATGTGCTGAGCAAAATATGCAAAGTATGTACTGAGTGTTTTTTCTCTCCATTTTTTAAATATAAATAAGCTATAACATAATTAAGCAATTCAAATAAGTTTCTAATTGATATTTAATTTTTTACAATCCATGCATTGAAAAAAAATGAAATTTTTATTAAATAATATTTTTATTAATGAAATAATTTAAACCAGATTTCTTCATTATTAGGAAAAATATATCTTTCTTTTAATATATCATATTTATTTTACTGAAGAAAATCTTAGTAATAATTTTTGTAAGTAGTACGTAATGTTAATGATGATTTATATTTTTGTTTTTAAGAAGCCTTTATAATTTGTTAAATCTAATACTATTAAAAATATCTTTGCAGGAGTTTTTTTAATTGCTTTTGTTTTTGTGCTTTACTATTTTCTTAAAATTTAATAATTTTAGGCAAATTTTAATTTTAATTTAAGTACAGTAATTTTTTTTGTGAAAATATAGTTATTAAATAGGGTACTAGGGACGAATGAATGAAGTTCATGATGGGTACAGTTAAATGCAAATACAGTAGAGCGCCGATTATCCGAACTGCTCGGGACGGAACATGGTTCGGATAATGAAAAGTTCGGATAATTGGAAAGTTGTTTAAAATCTAGTGTCAATGATTATTATTTATGCACTAACTTCCCTTCGCACCTTTTGTAGGCTTATGACTGGCAGTACTATCTAAAGTAGCTTTAGCGTGTTTAAAAGTTGTTTTTTTTTTCAATTTTTAAATATTTTAAATTAATTTCTTTTTAAATTTTTTTTCATTTTGAATCATTTTTATCATACATATTTCAGTTTTTTATAATTTTTTTGTCAATTGCTGATTTTACCACATTTATTTTACCACATTTATTTTATTTTCCATTGTGAAAGAAATTCAGCAAAGATTTCGTTTCAAAGAAGATGCGTTTTTTTTAGCAGTCATGTATCCCTTATTCTTTTTAAATAAATCAACTGAACTGGATCAACATCATTTTTGACGTTCTAGCCAATTCATTGCTAATGAATTGCGTGCAGTTCCGATTTTCATTCAAAATTTCAGCAACAATTTCATCATTTTCATCCGAAAGATCTACTGGTTCAGAAACTTCAGTTTCGTTTGTTTTTCTGTTAAGAATTTTATTCCAATATTTAAGATTCCAAGCACTGTGAACACTAATAATTAACCATGAGTGACAACTACCCACTCCCCAATTATAGAACTTCACTTATCTATTCATAAACTCCTTCTGCATTCCAACCATTGTAGACTATCAAAATGAAGCTCGCATTCTTGGAAGATAATTTTCAGTTGTAAAGGGCTAAAGGGTTATGTAGGTTTAACTGTATGACAATACATGCATGTACGGCTACTACAAGAAAACTGCTAAAAAGGTTGTAAATTAAATATAGTCTTCAGATGTAGGGGATATTACTTATTCTTCTTAATTTAGAAAAATTGTCGATAGGTTAAAAAGTATTCTAAACTTTAAAAAAAAAAAATGAATTCAGACATAGTTCGGATAATTGGAAGTTCGGATAATAAGGGTTCGGATAATCGGCGCTCTACTAGTTATTTTAATCAAGTTTCATTACCGTGTATTCTTGTAAAACTCTATTTTTATAAGAATTTTATTGAATGAAAAAATAATTAAAATTTTTTTTGTAAAATAACGAAAACGATTAAATTTTTTACTTTCAAGCGTGAAATTACAGAATTAAAAAAGAGTTAACGATTCGCTTGTCAAAATTGTTAAGTATTGTGCTAGTCATTTACTGTTATTCCTAGAAAATAAATGAGAATTGTACATTTTTATTTTTCAATTTTCAATTCTTTTTTCCTTAAACTGATTTGCAGCAAAATTTACTGGAATAGTAAATTTGCAATTAAACTAGAGAGAAGTTATCACATAGGAGGTGTTTACTATCACATAAAAAGAATTATTAGTACTATATTGATGATGTTGCTGTAAGATCCTAAATATTACTAGATACTTCTAAAAATAACTTAATATATATATATCGGCATTTAACAAATATTAAATACTTAAGAATCAAATTTATGAAATATTAAAAGTTAAAGAAATGCACGTAAAGATTGCGAAACAAATGTTTTATTCAGACGAATGCCAAATAGCAGCCTTGTTCAGGATTGTTCACATCTCTATCCCAAAAATAACGAGATAGTATCGTCGGGTACCACGTGATGAAGGCGGAACCAAGTGCCAACTCCTGATGAACGAACTATACAAGGTTTGGGGGTTTAAAATAAATAAATTTAAAAAAACTTTGTTGTCAAAGTTGAAAACAGTTATGAAATTCGACTTCAGATGTCTTTAAAGTTGTACGTTTTAATACAAAATTTCGTTCAAAGAAGTTGATCAAACTTCAAAACATATTAACCCATTTTAGGCCAAGCATGGAAAGCATCTACATATTTTTTTATGTCTTTTTTAAAAAAAAAAAAAATAGCAAATTCAAAATATATTTGCCACCTTGGCGATTGTAGTTGGTATGACGAATCACGATACGGAAATATCCCCAAACATATGATTAATTTCAAATGGAATAAATAGAGATTTTCAAAAAAAGTCGAGTTTTTTCAATAGCAGTTTCAAGTTATAAAAGTGTAATTTAAAATTTTCTCAATAGGAAGGGTTTACATCAGTTCAATTACTATTATTTTATAGATATCTTCAAAACCCTTGACAATAGTATAAAAATAATCACAATGTTAATAAAAGCATTTATTGCGGTTACGCATCTTTGACCTAAAATGAATACACTGGCGCTCTTTTGAGGTGTTAGATCTGGAATGCACTTTTTATTAAATGTAAATAAATATCAGTGATGTACCTGTGCTCTCCAGAAAATATTCGACTTCCGACATGGCCGGAGTTTGTGTCGAACCTCAGTATTTCCTCGTGTCCTTCAGATAGAGCTAAAATACTTTTCCCGCCATCCACAACTTTCACGCCTTGAGAAACATCAATGAGTTCCTTCATTTGGGTTTTCACGATTCCTCTTGCGAGGTCCACAATTTCTATTCGGCTGTGTTTCAGCACAACTATTTCTGCATTCCTTCCCAGGGTCAGTATCCCATCTATGCACTCCACCTCTTTGACGGACGCCATTTTCTTCATCAGCGATGCGTTCCAAGCTTCTAGCTCAGTTTTTGAACTTGAATAGGTCACTAAGTACACTTCCTCACTGTTTAACCACGTGACATAATCCAAACAATCACTGTCTTTGGAAGACGGAGGGAATACCTTTTGCAAATCTGCAAGGGTACGAAAACAAGGCCCTCTCACTTGGAAATAGGGCGTCGAGTTTGACACACTTTTCACCCACAGTTTAACGGTAGGAAATTTAATATGCCTTTCTCTCTCTAAAAAGAAACCTTGCGAACGACCAGTTATTTGGGTACACAGTTGTCTGTAATCAAGCATCAGGGAATACGAAGATAACTGCAAGAATTTTCTTAGAACATCTATTTCTCTGTCATCCGGATTTTTCCGTTTGTAGAGTTTGATTTCTTCTAAGAGCAAATAAGGATCACCATATGTTACACGCTCGAGTAACCACTTACAGTTAAAGAAGTCATTTCGAACAGATATATTCAACTTGATTTTTAAATGAGTTGATTCCTCCAACTCCCGCCATCTTTGATGTTTGTAATTTGTTTTGATTTCTGTAGCCGGTCTTGCATCATCTGAAGCCATTTCTTTATTCCCCTGAACGTAGTCTAGAGTTCTTTGTAAGCATGCATGTAAACGGTCTTTTCCTAAATAAGTTCTAAAGAGTTTCCGGAAAATTTGGCACCTAAAATGGGTGAAGGCGTGTCCCTTTCTGTTGAAAGTTCTTAAAAGAGGGGTAAGATGGTGCTTTAAGTATATGAACGCCAGGCATTGTTCAAAAGCAGAACTTATTTCAGTTTCCAACATATCGAACACTTCTGATTTCATCACACCATGTTTAAAAGTTGCTAAGTTTAACATTAACAGCTCTAGAGATTTTATTCCCAGGGTACCGCTGAAATGGCTAATGTAATCAGCAATGACGTCATACAAAGAGTGCCTGGCCCAGAAGTGTTCCGGAATCGAGAGGGTTTGCCACGAACATGCCACGTGAGCAAATACATGGGCGTATCTTGGATATGAATTGTCAGTCACACATATGCGAGTGAAACTTATCTGTGCGTCCGTTAAACGGCGTCCTCTGCTCAACATGTGATGTTCAATTATCGACAGAGTGTCATCGGCATCCAAATCGGGAATTTCTAAAAACGCTGATACATCATCTGCGAGTCGCTCCTGTAAGAAAAAAATATATATAAGGCCCTATAAAGTAAATACCCTACGTTTTTATTAGAATGTAGATATTTAAGTTATTTTCTAGTTTGATTAAATTTTCTTTACCTCAAATCATAGTGGAAGAAAGATGCTAGTCTTATAAAAATAGTATTTTCGTGAAAATTAAAATTATAAATATATTTGATAAACAGACTAATTAGGCATCGAAGTTGCCAGGTACACAAAACATATATAATGTTTATTGTGGCATCACAATATATTTGATGCCACAATAAACATTACATATTTCTTAGCTTTTAAAATTTCTTTAATTTTTAAGCTAATTTTTTTTAATCATTTTTAACCGAATTTCAATTAAATAAAACCAAATATTTAATTTTTATTACATTTTATGAAAAGCGAAAATAAAATATTTTATTGTTTTCTTAACAATCAATGTAACGGCTAACTTCTATTTCAATGCTAATGCAATACTCATTAATTCGTTCGATAAGTTGCCAACCATGGATCTCTTCCCATGCTCCTAGCGGTCCGTTGGGAACAATTCATTTTACTTTCAATTCTGAATTAAAGGCGATTGAACTGGGGAGCTTTTGAGCCTCCCAGTCTCAACTGTTGAATATATATCTTTACATAATATTCTTGATGAGAAGAGAGTAATTTTTTTTTATCCCTTTGAGGGACTTCTTCTCTTTATTTTCATAATTTTTGAATGGAATCACATCCCACCCCTTCTAGTTACAAGTGTGAGTATGGGAGATCTTCTTCTTGAAGTGCAAATCTACTTATCTTACTGACGAATCGTCAAATTTTGATAGCATTTTTGTCCTGTCACTTAAATAGCACTTCCAATATGAACTTTTTTGAGGGGGTCATTTCAAATAGGTACATGGCTCACCTGTATTTCTTGCAGCTCATTACTGCCGTCACGTAATGCAAGTATCAACTTGACGTGCTGAGGTAGAATTGTTGGGAACCATTTGAGTGAACGACCGCTGTACTCTTCCACCTGATCCAGTCCGTCCAGTATGATGAGAAGAGGTCTCTCGGAACAGGCTCGCTTCAGGAGATTGGCAAAGAAGGAATTGTGTTCCGCAATACTCTGAAACACAACAGTTATACATTTAATAGAGAGATTTAGCATTCCACAAGAACGCGCACTGGAGTCGCCTTCTATTGAAGTGAACCGGGTTCGAATCCAGCGATGGCTAGTCGATACCAATTTCACAGCCAGATCGCATTGCTCACAATGCAGACGTAAAATATCCTCAGTGGTAGACAGATCACGGGTTAGAGATCCCTTGCCATCAGGCTGACCGTGTGAGGTTTTCGTGGTTTTCCTCTCCATGTAAAGCAAATGAGGGTTAGTTTCATCACAAAGTTCTCCGCGAAGGCACAATTTCCCCCAATACATGATCCAGGAGTTCCCTTGCCTTCTGGATTGGGCTCAAAATTACAAGGCTACGGAGTTAAATATAAGTAGTCGCAAAACCAAAAATTGGGAAGGCAGTTCAATTTACGTATTTTTGATTTTTCTCCTCTCAAATAATAATTTTGTGACTCGCTATACATGTTTTATACTCTTCATTTTTCATTACGTCTCTAAAAATACATATATTAAGGGTAGTAATTACGGAAAATTTTTTATACACGCGTTCTACATACAACTTTACTATAAAAAAAATTTTGAAATATATTTGCTTTCTAAAAAAAAAAATCAGATAAGCCCATTTCTCCTCTGCAATCTGGGGTCTTCTCGTGATGATTGAACAGTATACTGTTTAAAACAGGCTATAGCAAGTATAAACTCTACGTGTCACAATGGAGTGATTTTGGACGTAGCTTTCAGTACGTAAGCTCTGCGTATGCTCTGTAGGAGACTGAGAGTAACTGCGCTGCGACGTACTTGCGTAAATGTAAAATCTCTTTACTTACTCTGGATGCTAAAGATGGGTGTTTTCCGTATAAAGCAGCTATTTGTTGGCAGACACTTCTTAAGACTCGTTCTTGCGTAAAGGATTCAGTTGACACGCCAACCGATCTCAGTATGATGGGCATATTTGGAAATACTGCGCCACTCAGAACTGCGGCGACCGCCAAGAGGGCACTCTTACCCCTTCCTTGGCGACCATGCACGACCAGAGCGTGGTTCTGAGGTCCTGCGACATAATTCATGACAGAAGACAGTAGATCGGGGCGATCTTGGAAGCTCTTCAGGTGTGAACGCATTTCGTTTTCCTGCTGAATCAGTTCATCAAAAAGTTGTTGGTCTATACCTGTAAAGTCAAAACTGGTCATTTCTTTTTTTTAAAACTTTAGTATACAAACAAATTCGTTAAGGAGAAAAAGAATATATCTTTATGAATGGTTGACCGTGCAAATTTAAGCCTAGATGGCGCTAGTGGTTAAATTTCGTCTTAAGACTTTCGGTTACGACTTCTGATTGATTTTGACCCTTCATTTTGAAAAAGCGAGCTTCCAAAATTATTGTACTTGTAGTGTTTACAATATAACATGTTCTTTCAATCTAACTTTCAGCGAAACAAGCAACAAACGAATTCAAAGAACTCTACTAGCTTGCTATGATGCTACCCAAAGAATAACAAACTATACTATTTTACACAATATAGCCGAATAAGGACCGGGATAGCAGTGGCGTAGCGAGGGGTGGGCAAGGGGGGGCATCATGCCCCGGGCGCTACTCACAAAGGGGCGCCAAACAGTCCGCAAAACAAAAAATTGCTTAATGATTTTTTTTTATTATTATTGATTTCTGAAAAATATATTTTAAATTTAGTGCCAGTGTAATATAATAAATGTTAATTCATAAATATTATTCATAATATTTAATATTTAATTCATAATGTCACTTTAATAGTCTAAATCAAATTTTAATAATATATTCATAATAGAAATGGCACGTCTTTTCTACTGGCAGACCTGTGTCTGTCAGCACTTCCTTATGGCATCTACGCTGTGTGGTTACATAAATTATCTCATAATATGTTATAATAAATATTTGCAGTGCACAAAGTACAAACATTCTTTCTTTCAGAACACTTTTTATTTTTATTTGTATAAACGCAATGTAGCTTACGGTTATTTTAAAACGATAACAATAACACTCTAATGTACAGTCACGGAAAAAAAGTGTCCGGAAAATAACAACTAAAGGATCGTTTATATTTTAATATAGATACTTCTCAGACACACAACAAATACAGCGTTTTGTCGTTTCTAGGAAAGGACACAAACAACGCCGTATTTGTTGTGTGCCTGAGAATTATCTGTTTTTTTAAAAAAAGATTATTTGTTTGTTACTTTCCGGATACTTTTTTCCCCGACTGTACATATCAGTGACATTTGCGACAGGCTGTGGAAACCCGCAACAAATTAGTGAAATACCCGAAATAGTAACTTTTAAGTTATTTTGGACGTGTATTTTTCAATTTTGCGTCCTTGTCATCGCACTCTGTTTAGTAAAAAAATGAAATGTTATTAAATATTAAATGCTATTTATAAGTTTAATGTCAGCATAAATTATATTGTATATTTCACTATGTTACTACCTTTCAAGTTCAAGGCATTTTTGGTAAGTAATAAATCAAATAAGATTACTTACTACATCTGCTCGACGATTCTATTATTAAGTGAATAGAGTATGAAAAAATTTGTTAACAGAAAAATTTGTTGTTCTCATATTTGTCACCACAGATTCAAAATGTATTCATTCATCTTCTGGCATCTACAGTTCGAAATGAACTAATAAACGATATCAAAAGAAATAAATATTATGGACTTTTGTTTGATTCAACTACTGATATCTCTCGAGAACAAATGTCCCAAGTCGTTAGGTATGTACGTAGATGCTGATTTTATCAATAAAAAAGTTTCCATCAAAGAATCTTTTCTGTGTTTTATTGAAATACATGCTAAAGATGAAGCCTCGATTGAAAATACAATTTTAGAGAAATTAAATTACGATGAAATTTCATTAACAAACTGCAGATCACAATGTTACGATAATGCTGCCGTGATGGCAGGTCACACATCTGAAACGCGATGGAGCGCCAGAATACAAGCGGTTATCGTTATCATCTATGGGCTAGAGAATATAAAAGAACTAATAGAAAAATTAGCAGAGCACACTACCACTACAAGTGACAACAGAAGTGAAGCTACAATTCTGTTGCAAAATATACTAACCTTTAGTTTTATAACTTTAGTTCATTTCTGGTATGAAATCTTAAGAAGGATTGATCGTGTGCAGCTCAGATTACAAGATCCTAGAATGAATTTTAGAGAAGTGTTCCATGATCTTGAATCATTAGCGACTGAACTAGCCGAAATTTGAGACAAGCTCTGTAAAGAGGCAATAGAAAAAGCAGAGTCTCTTTGTGAAAAATGGGATATGGATACAACAATACGTGCCTGGAGAATTGGCTATGGTGGTCTTTCCGCAGAAAGTGAAATTTCTCGCGTTATGAAAAGCACTCTTGATCGTCTCCAACAAGAAATGTGTACACGATTAAGTGACCTTAATTTCAAATTTGGATTTCTACTAGACGTTGAAAATTTATTAAACAAGGATAATGTTGATAACGACCTTGAAAAAAAATTTTAAAAATCTGGGTGAATTTTATAATACAGATTTCAATGTAATAGAACTTTTTATCAAAATATGTGACAGCAAAATGTTACTCCGCAGTAGAAAAGAAATTAAACCTAAAACTCCATTAGAATTTCTTACTTTTATAATCAATCTCGAATGGAGAAGATGTTTTTCCAAATCTGAGAGCGGCATTTCAAATACTCCTGACTATCTCAGTATCAATTGCTAGCTGCGAACGTTCATTCAGCAAATTAAAATTAATTTTGACAGATCGCCTAAGTGACCTAGCATTTTTAAGTGTGGAAAGAGAAAAATTTTAAATGATCAATTTTGATGATATTATTGATACATTTGCTTCATCAAAAGCACGGAAAATTTAGACATAGTAATTAGTTTTATTAATGTATTATAATCATATGATTATTAAATATATGTATCTCCTTAGAGATAATAAATATTTACTTTTTTATTGTTTTAAAACTGCGTGTTTTTAAAATATTTCTTTATAAATATGAAAAATAAATAATAGGTATCTTTTGAACTAATTCTAGATGATCATATACATTTCAAAATCTAGTCTTGTTCTCTCAACTAAATTTTTTGTCTCAAATTTAAAACCTAACTTGAGTCTATGACTTTATTTATTTTACTTTATTTATTAATTTGCGTTTTATTTATTAATTAATATTTTACATATAATATTATATGGTTTTCGAAGCGGGGGCGCTAAAAAGGTATTGTGCCCCGGGCGCGAGTTAAGCTCGCTACGCCACTGCGGGATAGCCTTTCTGGTAGGACACTGGGCCCATGTCCAACAGGTCGTTGGTTTGATCCCCACCGGCGGGTGGTGACTGATGCATGTTAAATCTGTTGACTCACAAAGTCCTCCATGTTTGCATAACAAATCAATACGTCTAGGGTCACTAATCCAGGAGTTTCCTTGTCTGCTGGATTGGGTTCAAAATGACAAGGGTACGGAGTTGAACGTTAGTAGTCGTAAACCCAAAAAATTGGGTCGGCAGTTCGACGACGGTTATTAAATAAAATATGTATATAGCCGAATAAGAGATAACACTCAAAACATGGCTTACCTTACTGATATTAATTTTTCTTAAATTTGTTTTAGGCTATAGAACTGTTAGAAATGACGGGAAAACTCTTATGAATTACATCTGAATTTAAACACAAAAATAACAATAATAAGTATTCAAAACATTAAATTACTTTAAAACAGGTAATTCTGGGTCTTTTTTAATGAAATATTCGATAGTAATTATTGGAAATCATGAACATAAAACAAAGATTATTTATGTAAATATTTGAAAAGTTCAAATGAGCATGGATAGACCAACACATAAGGAGGTGTCCCCCTAGCGAAGGTCATTTCTGGTTATGGGTTGCAATACAATTCTCAATCCTTTTGTTGAGTTCTCCTTCCTAAGTTTATACATAGGGTTAAGAAAATCAACACCTGTATGTAAAATATTCAGCTTTCAATATGAAAGAATGTGCCGTAAGCATGTTGTCAAGTCTTAAGAAGATGTTTTATCACCAATAATTCATGTAAAATCTGTTTCACGTACTTTAGTAATTTAAAATACCAAAGGAAAAAAAAAGCTTTCAGGTAAACTCAGAGAAAAGCATGAAGTTTCGGAAGCTTAAAAATTTTTTTTATTTACTCAGAATTAAGCAAGAAGGAAAAAGTCATGGCATAATTTGTTTGCATTTTGAAAATTTTTTTTTAAACTTCATAGTTTACTCTAGATTTACGTACACTCACTTTTCTCTTGAGCAGTCTGCGTAGGGACCGAGGGTGCGGGGTATCGGTAAACTGCTCTACCGTAAATTGCTCGACTTCGCACGCAGGTCGTCAGGATACTAAAGCGCAAGAGTCATCTCCTCTGCAGAGAATCAAAATTGCGATGGCATGTCTTCGGATCATCCTAATGGATGATTCTCATACAATCACCAATAGCTCACTGTGAGCCACGGTGGCTCAAAGGATAGAGCGCTGACTTCCCAATGAGGTGAACCATGTTCGAATCTCAGAGATGGCTGGTCGATACGAATTCCGCATCCAGCTCGCACCGACACAGTGCTAACACAAAATATCCTCAGTGGTAAACGGATCATGGATTAAAGTCTCCTTGCCATCAGGCATACCGTAGGAGGGTTCCTTAGTTTTTCTCCGCATATAACGCAAATGCTGTTTCGTTCCACCAAAAAACCTCCACGAAGGCAAATTTCTCCCAGTACTTGATCCAAGTCTTAATCCCCTTGTCTTCTGAATTTAGTTCAAAATGACAAAGCTACGGAGATGAACATTGGTAGACGTAAATACCTAAATTGGGTTGGATGATCAAGGACTGTTTTAAAATAGCCCATTGTGCAGCTCTAAGTACGAGTCTTTAACATTTAATTTCAAATTACTAATGTAGGTAAGATAGAATTTGCCTGACACTAAAGAAACGAAAGAAAGCAACTATTTGAGTGCGTTAAATTTGAAGCAAAGATTCAGACTAAAAGACAGGCATTTTTTTTCGAATTGTCGTCACAGGAAAAAACAACTTTTTGCGAATACGATGCAATTTTCTAAACTGATGAGCTTTAACATTTATTTATGGCTGTTAAGTCAATTTCATTCTAATTTTAGCTACCACCCTCTTCGTTAATTCTGAAAATGGCGCAAAACATTAATCTGATAAAAAGCCACGGTTTCGTAAAAATAAAAAGCGATTTTGATCTAAATTTTTAATATTTAGAGGGTAACTTCAACGAATCTAAGTACGAATAAAAATTGAGAATTATTCATTGATTTTGTCAAACTGGAAAAATCTCGACAAATTGGCGACTTTTAAAAAAATTGGAAATTTTAAAAATTTTTAGATGATTTGTCGGTTTTGAAGTCCAAATAATTATTTACTTTAAAATGTTATTTATAGTTTAAAATCCTAGACGAGGTATTTAAACTGTGGCTTTTTTATGTTTCATTGGCGAAAGAGCTTTGAAAAAAGGAGTTTTCTACAAAAAATAATTTTTTTCTTCTGTTTCTGAAGGACAAAAGTGTTTTTTTTTTCTTCTAAAATTCAGTAAAATGTTAATCAAAACATTTTTCTCACATTTCTTTCATGACTTTTTTTTTACCTTTTCCTGCTATTTTGGAGAAGTATCTAGTTCCGCTATCTTTATTTGCAGACAAAATTATTTCTTTGATTTTTGCAAGAAGATTGGAATAAGCTCCGGATTCTTTCGATTCATTCTCACCGTTCCACAGTTCCTGCCACTCAATTCCTTTCACGAAATGGCAACAGTTTTGATCGGGCAATTTCTCCTCCAGTTTTAAAATGAGACGTTGAAGACGTTGAGAATTCTGGAATGGATTTTGATTCGTCTCCGTCGGCATTTCAATATGAATCATGAAGATTCTTTTCATGAGGTCAGCATCTTCAGAGTCCTGAAGAAGCTGAAGAATGTCTTCGAATACTGAAGAGAGAAAAAAACAACAAATTAGAAGGAATATTTTCTGTACTTTAAACCTGTTAAGGAATCGCGTATGTTATAAAAATAATTCATAGCAAGGTGTGTTATAAAATACAAGATGAAAGTTCGATGCGGCAGTATTGTCAAAAGCTTATATCTTCAGATTTTTTTTTTTTTTTTTTTTTTCATTTTCNTGGTAATTCTAACAAAATCACACCTCATTCTATAAATGAAGTGTGCAAAATAAAAAAATACGTAACTTTAAATAACTTTTGTTTTAATTCTTAGATTTTCGTAAAACTAAGTGGCAATCTTAAGGATTCAAAATATGTGATTTCAACTACGCTAATTAATTAGTGCAAGCTATTAATTAAGCTCCAGAAACAGACAAAAAAAACATACTTTCTCTGAATAAAAGTACCTCATTTTCCAATGAATTTGTATTTTTGACCGAAGTATATATTCATACATACTATAAAGTATGGTGGCTAGCCCCATTCCAGAAAATAGCTTCGGCCCTTTCTGCATATTTCATATCTCGAAATTTTTTTTAAAGTAACCAAAACAATTTTTGCTCATAATTATAAAATTCATTTATCCAGAAATAATTTCAAGCAAAAAAATATTTTTTATGAACTTTTAATTATTTTTCATAATTTCATTTCATATAGGTAGGAAACATATTGAATAGTAAGTAATATAAATTTTCACACCATTTTAAACTCTGTCATTTTAAATAACAAATTACAAAATTTAACTGAAATCATTCAAACAGTTCTTGAGAAATAGAATCTTAAAATATGAATTTTTTTTAAAATTTTATAAGTCAGAAGTTATTAAACTAACGTAAAAACTTGTATACCTTACAATTTAAAAAAATTTCGAACCTTTTCAAATAAAATATGAAAACACATTGAAAATTATTTTTTAAATGGAATTATCTTTGGACAAAGTAAATGTATACTTATGTAAAATTTTTTTTCAAATCACTTAAATTCCCGAGATACTTCGAAATACGCAAAAAGTGACATTAACATTAAGGGACATCAATTTTCGACCGTTGTCCTAACTAAACTATCAGGACCATATTTTCCAGATTGCGATTACCCCTCCCCCTATTTTGATAGTTAAAAAACGAAATCCGTCGAAAAAAGGGTATATTTATACAGAGAAAGTACGTTTTTGTGCCTGATACTTATTAATAGTTGTTGTTATTATAATACATTAATTCATACTTAATTAACTAGCATTATTTTATGTTGCCCTTTTAACCATTATGATCAATTCGAAATTATATAAATCATTTAAACAAATAATTAAATCGGTAAGTCTCCCATCATTAGAATAAAGGTAATTTAGGGTGATATTTTTTTTTCTAATTTTGAGCTCTATATACTGGTAGAAACTTTGGAACACGTTGAGCCATGCTATAGTTCAAATTCGCATCAAACTTAATATTGCATCAAGTTGAACCATATTATTGTGCTACTTAAAGTTGGTTACTCAATGATGTATGATTCATCTTGAACAGAACATGGTTCAATTTAAAACGCCTTACTAAGGAAATAAAGCTTTCTAGTTTTAAATGAAGTTACTTCATTTCATTAGAGAACATTAACTTACCGTGTCGTGTACCGTCCCAGGTAGCAAAGAACAATCTATTTTACGCCGAAATACGTATATTTCACCTTTAAATTTTACTAAGCATTCGTAAAATTTACGTAAAACTGAAAAGTTGAATTAGAGCAGAAAATGGATAATTCAAAACACTTAAAATTTACGTAAACAAATCCGTTTGTCTTGCGAATATTTTGCCAATTACTTCTTACTTGGCAAGAATGAGTACCCTATTGCTACATACTATTTACGTCAATAATACTTCAAAATTTATGTAAGTTGAAACGTTGAATAACATCAAGAAATGGTTATCCATAGAACGGAAAATTTACGTAAAATTTTACACTAGCGAATTCGTTTCTTTTACGAATATTTTACCAATCACTTTTCACTAGGTAGGAATGAGTACGCTATTTTAACATATTATTTAACCCTACAGTCAGTCAAAATGTAGGTAAGTTGAAACGTCAAATTATAGAAAGAAAGCGATTATCCAAAAAAATTTTAATTTACGTAAATAAATTCGTTTCTTTTACGAATATTTTACCAACCACTTTTCACTAGGTAGGAATGAGTACGCTATTTTAACATATTATTTAGCCCTACAGTCAGTCTAAATGTACGTAAGTTGAAACGTCAAATTATAGAAAGAAAGCGATTATCCAAAAAATGTTAAATTTACGTAAATAAATTCGTTTCTTTTACGAATATTTTATCAACCACTTTTTACTAGGTAAGTATGAGTATACGGTACGTTATTTACATAATATTTACCGCAGCAGTACGACAAAATTTACGTAGTTGAAACGTCTCGAATTAAAGCAAAAATTAGTTCCCCAAAAAACGGAAAATTTTATGTAAACAAATTTATTTATTTTAAAAATATTTTACCAACCACTTTTTTCTAGGTAAGATTGAGTACGTTATTTTTGCTCGTTATTTATCTCAACAGTACATCAAAATGCACATAAGTTGAAACATCAGTTATAGAAAAAAGTGGTTATCCAAAAAAAATCGAAAATTAGCGTAACTAAATTCGAATCAAAATTTAGCAAAATTTATGTGGTAAATTTTCTTTGTCAATAATATGTAAAATACGCAGAATCGCTTTTACTATATCTAAATAGTAAATATTCTTCTGTCAATATTTCGTAAAATATACGAGAACAGTCTTACAGGAGGGTAATTGGTAAAATCCATTCCATTAATATTACGTAAAGTACATCAAAGCTTTTTTTACCGATTATCTCAATGGTAATAACATTCCGTCAATATTGCGTATAATTTAAGTATAAAGGGAATTGAATTTACCAATTTTCCCTAAAAATCACGTTTAATTTACATATCATGCTACATGGGATGTCCCAAATGAAATTTGACGAAGTTCGGTGTTGACAGTAAAGAAACAAAATCAAATCAAAAATTTTTTAGATAAAAAAAAAAAAATAGCAGTTATCTTAACGGCAGCTGTTTCAAAGCTTAATAATGTTTCTGATGCTGGAAAAAAATTCTTTAACTATTTTCTTTATTCTTGTTATTGCTGGAGCATTTTCAATTTCAAAAACCCTGTGCCATAATATCAACCAATTTTTCAGTAAATGATTTCGAATATAAAAACCAATTTTTTTTCTGTATGAGTTGCTTAGGACGATCATAGTAGACCTTGTAGACCATACCTCTGGTTGGTGAGAAAGTTTAATGACACAAAAGCTTCAAACGGTATTTTATAGGGTGGGAAACGTATACCATATTGCAGAACGTATACGTATTTAAGATAACAAGCTAAAAAAGACGTTAGAAACTAAATTTGATTGGGGGGAAGGGATCAATAATTACAAGATTTTGGCGAAAAGTTCATTTAAAAAAAGCTAATAAGCTGAAGTGAATGTTGCTCGTGAGTTATAGAGTTGTGCAACGTAAGGGTTGTAAACACATCTTAAGACCATCCAAAAACTGTCATTAAAATCATGATACAAGTCATTTGAAATTTGTTAGTTAACGTATCGTCAATAACAGTTGTTTTTTCTCCAAATATTGCGCGCTATTTTTTTGTTAAATAAATGAAACGAAATTTTAGTTATAAGAACAAGCTTAGTGTTATTAATATCCACATAGGTGGTACGGAATGTTTTCAAATCTAATGTAATTCCCTACACTTTTGCTTGAGATAGAAAAAGATCTGAGATAAGATAGATAGATGAGATCTTTAGAATAAGTTATACACTTTTTCTTGAGATAGGATAGGTAAGAATGATAAGATAGGATAAGATGGAAAGTTTCAGAAGCAGACTTTACACAGAGAGAGATTAATTTATTACTGAATAATTATGTATTCATCCTTTCGCTATTGAGGTAGCAATGAAAACTTCATTAGTTCATCCATTCTACAATACTTTGAATTAACGGCGGAAATTTCATTAGATCGCTCATTCACATTGTGATTGAGTTAACAATGAAAACTTCATTACTTTTCCCATTCTTTGTTAATTAATAATGATACTTCATTAGTTTGATCATTTGCATTCAAGTTAGCAATTGAAACTTTATCCAACGATTCACCTCCGAGTTAACAATGAACACTGCACTATTTTAATTCACCAATTTAATATTTCATTAACGGTGTAAATTTCATTATTTAATCCATTCTCCATTGAGCACACAGGAAAAACTTTATTAGTTCATTCATTCTCCATTGAGTTAACTGTAAAACCTTCATTAATTCACCCATGTTCCATTAAATTAACAAAGAAAACCTCAAGACTTTCTGCATTCTTTATTTCGTTAACAATGAAAACCGTGTTAGTTCATTCGTTTACCTTCGAGACAACAATTAAAACTCCATTTATTGACCTATTCTCCATTGAGTTAACAATTAAAATATCATAATACACCCATTCGCCTTTCCGTTAAAAATAAAAAATTTGTTATTTAATCCATTCAGTAAACAATAAAAACTTTATTAGTTTACCAATTCCCATTTAATTAACAAAGAAAACTTTATGACTTCTCCCATTTTCTCATTGTTAGCACAATGAAAACTTCATTAGTTCATCCGCTTTCATTCGGGTAACAATTGAAACTTCATTAATTCACCTATTCACCATTGAGCTAACAATTATAACTTCATTACTTCGCCAATTTGTCCTTTCGTTACCAAAGTAAATTTGAATGGGTCGTTCACTTTCTAATGAGTTTACAATGAAAACTACATTAGTTAACCTTTTCTCCATTTTGTTGACAATGGAAACTTCATTAGTTCATCACTTCTTAATTGAGTTAACAATCATATCAACTTCAATATTTTGGTTTCATACACTTAGGTTATGGTCATGTACAAAAAATGCATAGTGATAACAATAATAAAAAAAGTTTTAAACTCTATATTTTACCGCTTGTTATGTAACATTCTATTTGTTTTTCGTTGAATGCAGATTTCAAAATTGCGATAATTTCCTCTTCGTTTAATGGCTTCGATTCTGATGAATCCGAATTGTTCTTCTGCAGTCTGTAACAGGGTGATGTATCATTTACATCAGCTAAATAGGAGCAGTGGACAAGTTCTCTGTTGTCAATGGATGGCATTCGACGGACAGCTAAGTCAAAGTCCGATTGCTTTATGACCTCTGGTGGTTGTATTTCAGTATATTCCTGGCCACTAATGACCTGAAGCAAATAAACAAATAAATAAAACAATGTATAATAAAGAAGTATATAAAATAATTATTATTTTTTAATTAACTTATAAATGGAAACAGTATAAATTCCCGATTATTCGCTGAAATTCCACAGATAATCTTCAAAATGCCCTCTTCTAAATTTATAAAGGTCTCATTCACAGTTCAATCATTGAATAAAAGACTTGATCACCAACAAATGAAATTAAATAGAAAATCATAGTTTTGATCAGGTCAAGATATCGTTGAACAGAATTTTGCGCCAGGAAAATATCGTAATACAGAATCTCCCCCGGACAAAACATCGCGGTACAGTTGTGGGGTTCTTTTGATTCGAATAGGAAGAAAAGATGGCGATTAATACATAAAAAATATTTATTAAAAAGAAATCAAGATAAAATGTGTACAATACAATTAAATCATCATTCATAACATAACTAGAGCGTTTACTTATGTCTGCTCATATCCGTATCCCCCGTCAATCTGACTGAGATTCGGACAATGCGAGGGCGAGCAGAGGAGGGGGGGGTTGCTATAGTTACCCGACAATAGTTCTCACGTGGACAAATTATCGTGGGTCAGAACAGGGCCGCCTCGAAAGAAGCATCATTTGGCAAAATCTCACAAGGTTTAAATATCATTAGATCGAATCCCCTGAAGAAAAAATATCGTAGGACCGAATCTCACATGGAATTTGAAAGAATCTCATGTGGATGGAATATCATAAGGCAGAATCACTCGAGGATAAAACATCGTAGGACAGAATCTTATTACAAGGATAATATATTGTAAGCGATTTTCACGTGTTTAAAATGAAATGGAGCAAAATCTCCCGCAGATAAAGAGCCAAACATGTCATATTATTACTGTAGTGAAGAAAGGACAAAATATTAAAAAAAATCTTGGAATCAGCATGAATCGCAACATTTTGTAGCCTCATCATGACTGTACAGATAAGCGGATAATCCAAACATGGATAAACAGGTGTTTACTGTGAATGAGTTGAGAAAAGCAAACGCATATTACAATCACAAATGTATTAGTTAGCATTGAATAGCTAATTTTTCAGTTGTTGGAAGAGATGAAAGTATTACACAAAATTATTTATGCATTGCAATAATGATATTTTGGAAAAGTATATTATTAACGTCTTAACTATAATTATTGAACACGCTTTAATTATTGATAATATAATGAACATTATCGACAACAACGAATACGATAATGGTGAGAGCATTATCGATAACTATCAAGCACCATAAAATCGAGAGTGTTATGAAATGCAATATTACCGTAAATGCTGTTAAATTTCTTTTATATAATTATAACATTAATTAAAAGTAAAAATTAATATAAGTGAAAATATCGTGATATATCGTGAAATACCGATATTTCCTGGGGGATTAATATAATTACGATGCCGCTCAGCCAGTTCTGATGCCCGACATTGTTTCTTTTTTTACTTATTTTATGTATCTGACAGGGATATCATTTCAATAATACGTAAATAGAATTTTTTTTAGTAAATTTTCTAATGATATTACAACATTGAGTATTAGAATAGGACAAATAGGTAAGAAAAAAAACTTGACTCTGAGAAAATAAAACAAACAAGTCCTTACCAGGATAATGAGCCTTTTTGATTTAAGAAGCTTCTTAATAAAGTTGATAATCAGGAAGCGATAACCATTCCCTGAAGGAACTTTTGGATAACCAAAAACGAGACTGTTTAAAGTAATACCAATCTCAAAACAAAACTCTTTCAGGACATTCAGAAGGGGTTCTTTGGACTCCTCTAGAAAGCAAAAGCTCTCTGCAAAAATAAAACAGATAATAATTTAAGCAAGACCAACCGATGGGTGAACTATTTGTCCTCCTATTATATATATATATATAGCATTAAAACAAGGTTTATTTAATTATTATTAGAGAAAGAACAATCATCCAAGTGACACGTAATCGAAGTGTTCCTCAATAAAAGTTAGAGGATAAAAGTTGCTCTGGGGATCGAGCTTTCACCTTCCAATGAGGTGAACCGGGTTCGAATCCCAGCGATGGCTGGTTGATACGAATTCAGCATCCGGCTTGCACCGACCACAGTGCTGACGTGAAATATCCTCAGTGGTAGACGAATCACGGGTTAGAGACCCCTATCCGTCAGGCTAACCGTGAGAGTTTTTCGTGGTTTTCCTCTCCGTGTAATGCAAATGAGGGTTGGTTCTATCAAAAAGCCCTCCACGAAGGCGAAATTTCTTCCAATACTTGATCCCGGAGTTTTCTTGTCTTCTGGATTGGGTTCAAAATGACGAGGTTACGGAGTTGAACATTGCCCTAGGTGTGTTTTAGGAGAGGGTGGCGAGCTTCAAATACACCGCATGTAAGACATGCTTTAAGGTAGGTTGGTACTTTATTGACGCCGCCTGAAAATGATCTGAAGGCATGCCATAGCAGCTATGATCCACTGCAGATGGCTCCCCTTCTTTGGCAGCCCGATGACCTGCTCTTTACGTTAGAACAATTTAACGAGGACCGAACTCACGGTCTCTGAGCAGACTGATCAAAGTTGCCACCCATCCGCCTACTAACCTCAGCTAGTGATGCTTGACTTCGGTGTTCTCCTGGGAAACGTGTCCTTACAATCAGTTCACTGCGGGACACGTGCTTTAAGGTTGCACAATCTAACTTTCGAATACCTTTGACATAATGAAATTCCGCGACCAAATCAGTCATGTGTTTAAGAAATCTTAAAATTCCTTTAATATCCGTTTAAACACCGCTGTATCTATAGTGGCTTTATATGAATAACTTGCCTAGGAGCCCAGGTGGCTCAGGGGATAGAGCTCTCGCCTCCCAATAAGGCGACGCGGGCTCGAATCCCAAAGATAACTAGTTAATACGAATTCTACACCCGGCTCGCACCGGTCATAGTACTGACGTAAAATATCCTTAGTGGTAGAAGGATTGTGGGTTAGAGTCCCCTTGCAGTCAGGCTAATCGTATCAAGTTTTCGTGATTTTCCTCTCCATGTAACGCGAATGCGGGTTAGTTTAATCAAAAGGTCTTCCACGAAGGCAGATTTCGCCCATTACTTGATCCAGGAGTTCTCCTGTATTCCGGATTGGGTTCAAAATTACATTAAACATTGGTAGTCCTGAATTCAAAATTGAATCGGCTGGTCAACGACGGTAATAAAATGAAAACAAAAAAAAATGATAATAACTTGCCTGGTCCGCCAACTAAAGCCAGTAGGTCCACTTCCTTAAGACTTTTCGAATCATTCGTTTTATGAGAAGAGCAGCGTCCCATCAGAAGGTTTCGTACGGTGTCTGGATAAATAGTGAGTTCTGGGAGTGGTTTAAAAGAGCCCAGATCTGATAATTCTTCCATTACAGGTGAAATGCTCTGAAAAGGAACATTTGCAGTTGAAGAGTACAGATATTTCACTCTACAAAAACGATTAAAAAAAAAACGTTTTTTGCCACTTTCTGCTTTGGAAACGTGATGGTTTTGACTCACCAAGTACTAAAAATTTTTACAAAGATTGTCGGCAAATGGTGCCAAGAAAAAAACAATCAAACAATGGTTTCCAAATCCATTTGTAACAACGATGAGGTGAAGTCCGAAACTAACAAACGCCCGTGCAAATATTTATATTGGGATGGTCTTACACGCAGTAAAAAACATTACTTAATAGTTTTTGTCGGTTGCTTAAATTTGATGAAAATAAATATCTTAGTTTCCTCAGTTAAACGTAGAAAATTTTAAAATTTATCATTAAATTTTTTTAATTTTCTGTAAAAACGAAATTTAAAAAGCCTAGAAAGAAATGTAAAGTAATTTATAATGTGTTTCCACATCTTCAATAAAAGGCAATGAACCTAACTAGCATACTGTAGTGCAATAGAAAAGTCAACGTGACAAAAAGTTCGAAATTGAGATCTTCAGAGATTTGGCATTTTTGTATAATAAGCTACCTATTGCAAAAGAGTTTTTCGTCAAAATTAAATTTGTTTTATTAGTGTTTTGGAATTCTATAATAGCGTTCATGGTGTTAGCAATAGAAATAAAATAATTGCCATGACACTTATCTCAAAATCTATAGTAAAGCAATTGCGTTTTTTTTTTTTTTTTTTTTTTTTTTTTTTTTTTTTTTTTTTTTTTTTTTTTNTTTTTTTTTTTTTTTTTTTAAATTGCACGACAGCATACCAATGTTACCTTTTATTAAAAATGATTGATGATTTACGAATATGATCGATGAAAATTAAATAATAGATTCAAAAAATAATTTCTGAGAAACATGACCGAGTTTTACAATACGGTGCCAGTAGAGCTCGCTCCGAGCATCTTCAATTTTCATGTAGTAAGCATTCGTTCGACTACGAACCTTTCGAACAATCTAGATCAGTGGTTTCCAACTGGCGGCCCGCCCCGCGAAGCCTTTTCTTTTGCAGCCCGCGAACTAAAATATATTAGTTGTCAGTTTTTGCGGACAATTTTCGTAAAAAATCTGCAAGGGTTTAAAATACTTTTCTCGTTTATAAAAACCTAATTTCTTCGTTTCTGTGAAATTTAACATACCAACGGTGCAAAAAAAAAAATTTCTCAGGTTTTGCATCCAAGAAAATATTTATTCAAATACAACAATAATCGTGTATGTTACTCTTTTTTATTTCATTTTTTTTGTATTTAGTGAATATAATTTAGCATGTGTGTATCAGAAATTTTCTCGAAGAAATTCTCCGATGAAACCATTCCTTTTGGACGAAAATATTTACACACACATTTGTAAATTTTAAATTTTAAAATGTTCTATTATTCTATTCTCTGTTGGTTGCAGCAGACAAACCTCAATTTTGTCATTGAACATTTTGGGTGCTACTATGTAAGTTTTAATACCAACCTTTTTAAAGTTTTATATCTTAACAATTAGATATCTGTTGCACATTAATTGTTAAATACATGGGTGCACATTAAAGTTATTGTAGCCCGAAGTTTTCAATATGCAATTAAATATTTTTAAAAATCTACTTCTTATTTTAATTTGTAATTGAATACTATTGTTTTGTACAACTTGGTAAAAATCTGACGGTAATATTTAATGTTACTTCAAACATAAAAGAGTCCTACTTAAAAATTTGATAAAGTTGCTGTCCGCCATTTGATTTGTGTTTTTAAGTTTTTAATTGTGGCCCCCGGCCTCATGTAAGTTGGAAACCCCTTATCTAGATCATAGTTTCCCCATGACGTCATAATTCTTTTTCGGGTAAACAATTTTTGTTTCAAAATATTTTAAGTTTAAAGTTACAAAGAAAAATGTAGTTGCATATATATATATANTTTTTTTGGCCGCCTAACTGGCGTTTATTTGTAGAATTGCTCATATATCAGTTGAAAATATAGAGCATGGAAAATAATAAAGGATAATGAAAAGAACTGAAGAAAAATTCTAAAATAGATTATTTTTAAAAAAAATTCAAAAATAATTTTCATTTAAAAAAAAAGAAAAATTTTTTTAAAAAGAATTAAAAAGCCGGAAAATAAAATAATGAAAAGATATTGTCTCTTCATCAGCTGACACTTATTATAGCCTCAGAAAGGAGTGCTTTCTAATATTCAAAGCAAAATATATCAACAAAAAACTTATCACCCAACAAAAAATAAAAAGAAAGGAAAATGTAAAGAAAATACAGTACAAAACGAAATCCATAAAGCGAGAAAACGATTTAAAATATTTTCATTATGAAAATATTTTAAATCATTCTTAAAAGATTCCGGTGCCTGTAAGTTCACTTAAATTCACTACTCGATCTGTGGATTTTGTTTTGTACTATATTTTATTTACAATTTATTTTCTGTTTTTAGCTTGATAAGTTTTTCGCTTGGTATATTATATTCCGTACATATTTTTATTTAATGTGTTCTATTTTCGTTTCAAATTTTTGAATGCTCCTCACACTATTGTACTGATATATTTTGCTTTAGCAATATTAGAAAGCACTCCTTTTTGCGGCTATAATAGTGTGAGCTGATGAAGAGATTACATCTTTTCATTATTTCGTTTTCAAGTTCAAAATGTAGAGAAAACATGGAAAAAATTACAAAACGATGAAGAAGGGGGGGGGGAAGAAAAATAAAAATAACAAGAAACCGGAAGAAAAAAAATTCGAAAAAAGGGGGGAAATTAATAAATATCCGGAAAATAAAGGATATAATCTTGTCTCCCTCGACAATGATTCGCTATCTTTCGATAACGCTCTTTTTTTTTCAATGGATACACGTCTTCAGTAGTTTTGTTGAGAATGAATTTAATTTATGTAGTTGTCGAATGTTTACGTGTATTAGTAGAAATGTGTATAAGTAGAGTGGTTAATCAAAAAAGATTTCCTTTTATTATATTTAATCATAACATCCACTTAATTAAAAACATGTATTGAATATTAATTGCGTGTGAAATAAAACTCGGTTTTTCAATATAAAAAATGAACTTTAGTCAGACAAATATTTTTTATTCCGTTCGATGACCTTTTGCAATCTTTCTGACAACTTCCAAATCCCCTCGCTCAGTAGAACTTCTAGTTCTCATGAGCAAAAAAACTCAACCAAGTCCGATTGGAAAGTCATCACTATTTTACTCACATTTTTTACGATTTAAAAAGTAAACTTCAAAATAAATGATAACTCCGTGATGCAAGATCAGAGCAAAAGAATCGTGCTCCACCACGACACTACAGGACCGCACTCAAAATTAGCACAACATTATTGGAACTTTGTTGGGAATTGATGTGGCATCCCTCCTATAGATCCGACCTTGCATCATAGGATTTATTTTGAAGGCAACAAAATTTTTTAAACGATAAAAATTTTAATCAAACGATGACCTCAAATTGCACTTTATTGTTGATGAGAACCGGAAGTTCAATTTGAGTGTAGGATCAGGAGGTCATTGAACAGAATGAAAGATATTTGATTGATTAAAGTTCATTCGTTGTATAGTAAAAAGTAAGTTTTATTTCATGCGAAATTACTTTTTATCCAATCCAATTGTTACAATACCTGTCCAAAAAAAATCAACAGCCTGATTGTTTATCATTCGACGCTTAGTTTCAAGGTCTTTTTTGTGTTTTCTTTGGATCGAAAAAAAATAATTTTATTTCATACGAAATTACTTTTTTTTTCCAATCCAATTGTTACAATACCAGTTTAAAAAAATCAACAGCCTGATTGTTTTTGATTCGACGCTTAGTTTCAAGGTCCTTTTTGTGTCTTCTTTGTAAAGAAAAAAAAAAGTTTTATTTCATACGAAATTACTTTTTTTCCAATCCAATAGATACAATACCTGTCCCAAAAAAATCTGCAGCGTAATTGTTTTTGATTATACTTAGTTCTCTTTTGTGTACCAAGATGAGAGTACTCACTATGCTTGTTCCTGGAAGTACGGTTACAGTGGAGGCAGCTGAAACTGTCCTTATCTCCTCAGGTGCCAGTTTACTCGTTGGACTGAGAGCATCCAGTTCATCATCTTCTTCTTCTTTGCTTTCTTGATCTTCTTTTGAATCTTGAGATGAATTCATTCCATTCTCCCTGTCATGAAAGAGAAGGGATTTCAAACTAAATTTCTTTTCATAATCATGATTTTTACAAGCAAGGAAGTTTGCCCACGCATGCAAAAAGCATTGTAAAAAAGAGAACACCCTGAATAACTTTTCATCTATTGAGCGAAAATGCACTCACTAATGGTTCGAATGCCTCACCGAAGATAAACGAATTAAACGAAATCGGTCGAATAGTTTCAGAGTTATTCAATTTTTAAAAAGCCGTATGTTTGAAAATTAAATTTTTTGAGAACTTTTTAACTAAAATCGTTCAGATTTTGTATTTACTCTTTTAAGCCTTTTTACTCTTTTAGACCTTTTTTGGTGGTTAACGCTACGAACTGAAAAATTTTAAAAATTGCAATATTCGACAAAATTGTGCTATGTGAAATTCGAGTTTCAGTAATCACTTTTGATTTGAAACTCTTTATTTGTTAATCCAAGTGAAATTTTAATATATTTTTCGTAGGTCCCCGAAATCATTTTTATACATATATAATAATGACTCGCGAATTTGAGAATATCGCGAAATAAATTTCATTTTAATGTGGTAAGTTAAGTGGATACAATTTAGTATTTTTCTGAAATCAGCCTTTCCATGGTAATTAATTCCTTATTAATTAAAATGAAAATAATTTAAATTAAAATATACAAGTTAAAATTTATAAATTAATATAAATTAAAATAAAATGAATGATTATAAATATCCAAATATATCTTCATAGTATTTTGCTTCATATTATAATTTAAAAAATAATAAAATCTAAGACGGGGCACATGTATAAATCTTGCAGGGGCGCACAATAATCTACGTGCGCCACTGATTTCTTTAGCTAACGCCCTCTATATACTCATTCTGAAAAATGGTACAAAACGTCAATATGAAGGAAAGCCATATTTTTAAAAAAATAAAAAGCGTTTGTGATTTAATATTTCAACAATTAAAAAGTTAGTCTAACGCTTCCGAAATTGAAAATATTTAATTGATTTTGATAGTTTTCATCCGGGGAAGAAAATTCTCGTCAAATTGGAGATTTTTAAAGATTTTAATTACTCTACAAAATCAAGTTCTTTTCGCCCTAATATCTTTTTACGGTATATCTGTCCCGTGGTATCTTTTTTTAAAATAGTTTGAAATTATAGTTCAAGTATAAAAACCGTTTTTTTTCATTGCGACAGAAATACGACAAACACTGTTTATTAAAAGATAAATGGATCTGAAATCATGCAAACATTAATCTTAAAGGAAGCTAACAGAAGAAAATATTCACTTCGATTAAATATAATGGTAACACTATTTCATACATTTCTCATCACTATATATATGTTACACTTTATAAATTTCTCATCACTATATACATGTTACACTTTATAAATTTCTCATCACTATATATATGTTACACTTTATAAATTTCTCATCACTGCATGTTACACTTTATAAATATCACATCACAATATATATGTTACACTTTATAAATTTCTCATCACTATATATATGTTACACTTTATAAATTTCACATCGCTATATATATGCTGCACTTTATAAATTGCATACCACTATATTTTTTATGCATAACTGTATAAAAAATCAGACATTAATGGTTTTAGAATAGAAACAATTCAAAGAAAATAATGCTACTTACAAAGATTTCAAACTTTGCTTGAAGACAATGTTTCTGGGTATTTTCTTTCGTACACGCGACACTCTGGAGCAACCGCTACCCATTATTAACAATCAGTGCTAGAAAAGACATTTCATTATTTATGTTTCTTATTTCCAATCAAAATCAAAATGATTATGCATTAAAATTTCATCAAAAATGAAATGTTAATGCATAAATTTGAAGCCACTTTAAATAGTGGAAAGTTGGCTAATATGATTTTCGTTTTATTATGGTAAGTATTTGTGGTTAGTAATGAGAATTTATTTTTTGAAAAGACACGCTGGGAAATGTGTATTAAAGATGGGTAAATACCATTTTATTTGGTATCAGATACTGATACAACTAGGTATGTTGTGGTATACAACTAGGTATACAACTGTGTACAGGTGCATATGAATCTTGATTTAGTTCAAATGAATAAAGAACTTTCTATTGCTTAGAACTTAGAAGTTTATATTGAATTTATATGCTTATCATAAATTTCAATGCACTTAATTTCAGATTTTAAAAAAATGACGGTTGTAAGACAAAACTAAAATTTATTTAAATCGAATACAAATTATACTTTTGAGTACTAAGTACAAATACCAGATAAGCTGATATAAATCCACCTCAAATATGTGTCCACACTATTATATCAGCTTATTAACTTCACCCTTTAATTTCATGTACTACCAGATCACCCCCCATCTACCATATACGTTCAAACTCGAATTTCAGATTGGGATAGCACTGAGGCTATGGAAATGACTAAAAGGATGGTAAAAGGAAGGTAAAGGATTTCTATGTTCAAAAATGTACATGGTTTCCTTTTGTTTAAACTCAAATGCTTTGAAATAAACATTATTTTTAAGAAAAAATTCTTTATAAAAAATGGTTTTTTTAACGCTGAAAATTGTTTTCAAACTAATATCTTTACATATCTTGATGTTTTTGTTTTTAAAAATGTCAACAATTAACTTTTTTAACAATTTTATATCAATATTTTACGAAAAACATGATTATTAAACTGAATTCCTATCGCTGCACAAAGTAGCCCCACTTGGGGGCTACTTTGTGCAAGGTATGTTTTGACTTATTATTTGTAAATATCACATACAAATAATGCCAATATTGATCAAATTCACTCGTCTGAGTCCAGTTACGAATATAATATCGATAAATTTTACTAAAGTTTGAATTAACATAGTTTTTTTACATGTCAAAGTTCAAAAACTGCGAAATCCTGCACAAAGTAGCCCCACATGACGGTACTCAATTGTTCAATGAATTTTACGATTATTATTATAAAACTGTGTATAATGAACATTTCAACTAAAATAATTAGTACGAAATAGCTGCTAAAAATTCTCTTAAACATTTATAAATATTTTGCATTTATGAATTTCAGCTTTTTGACATTATTGCTAAATAATCTCTACGTCGAAAAATATTTTAAGAATTCCATAATAACTGAAAATTAAATAAAATTTAAAAATTTTTTAAATGGTTATCAAGCAGAACAATTAAGTTTAATTAATGAATATAGAATTGGAAACAAAGTCTCTGCTAAACAATAAAAAAAATCTTAATCCTTTAAGTAAACGAACTTTATTGTAATAATCATTTCATTATTAATTATTAAAGGTTATTGTTAAATTATTAATTTTAATTAGTGGATGAGAAGGTAAAGAAGTTCGCTACTCGAAATACATTTAATGAAAGTTATGAAAATATAGAAGGGGTTATGGAGATAATAATATATAATTTTTTTTATCTTAGTTTTATTACGACCTTCTAAAAAACGCTTGAAACTCTGAAATGTCTCACCACTGTAACTTGGTACGTGATACCGAAAACAAAACAAAAACATAAGCACACAGCTGTTTGGCGATTTGCAAGAACGCTCCTTTAACGCCAATAGAAATTTTCGCCAATCCTTTTATAATCTATGGTATGGTTTGGCAATTCGCGTTCGGTACATCAAAAATATGGAATATCTCTCATTTGAAATTAAATAAATCAGCTTCGGAAGAGGGTACATCAAAAATACGGAATCTCTCATTTAAATGGACAGTAGAAAATTTATTAGTCAAATTCTCCTGCAACATAATTCATCCAGTATCTTCAATAAAAAATAAATTCTTCAATCATCAAACTTTTTCTTTATTATAAATCAATTTCCAACTGGCGGCCCAGGGGCCGCATCCGGCCCACGAAGCCTCTTTTTGTGGCCCGTGAACTAAAATATATTAGTTGTCATTTTTTTGCGGACAATTTTCGTGAAAAATCTATATGGTTTTAAACTACTTTTCTCGTTAATAAAAACCTAATTTCTTCATTTCTGTGAAATTTATCATATCAACGGTGCAAAAAAAATTACTTCTCAGGTTTTGCATCCAAGAAAATATTTATTCAAATACAAAAATAATCATGTATGTTGCTCTTTTTTATTTCATTTTTTTTTGTATTTTGTGAATATAATTTAGCAAGTGTGTATCAGAAATTTTCTCGAAGAAATTCTTCGATTTAACTTTTTGAAACCACTCATTTTGGACGAAAATATTTACACACACATTTGTAAATTTTAAATTTAAAATGTAAATATCTATTCTCTGGTGGTTGCAGCAAACCTCAATTTTGTCATTGAACATTTTGTGCGCTACTTTGTAAGTTTTAATGCCAACCTTTTAAAAGTTTTATATCTTAACAATTAGATATCTGTTGCATATTAATTGTTTAATACATAGGTGCACATTAAAGTTAATGTAGCCGGGATATTTTAACGTGCAATTAAATATTTTTAAAAATCTACTTCGCATTTTAATTTGCAATTCAATACTTTTGTTTTGTACAACTTGGTAAAAATCTGACAGTAATATTTAATGTTCCTTCAAACATAAAAGAGTCCTACATTAAATTTTGATTAAGTTGCGGCCCGCCATTTTATTTGTGTTTTTAATTGTGGCCCCCGGCCTCATGTAAGTTGGAAACCCCTGTTATAAATGATACCTACGCCCAGTGGAATTTAACGATCATCGACTTTCCTTTCGTGTATGCTGCATGTTATGTCTATGTTCTGAAGGACATGAAATTCGATCTTTTTCTCCCCTCTTGGACAAAAAAGAAAATCTGCATTGGACTTCCTGATAGACATTAAAAAGTTTATTTTTCACGTATCCTTTGTGTTAATTTTTTTTACAATTTCTTGAATTTTTATTGATTAATAAAGAAAAAAGCACTCATGTAAACAAACAAAAATCATAGATTATGATTTTAAATTTTTTTCTTCTCAAACTTGATGTTTCCATTGAAACAATTTTTATTTATTGATCGCATTTACTGTTGAAATGTTTTTTTCTTTAAATTTTTATTTGGCATAGGAACTGTTTAGAAAAATTATTTTCATATTTATTGTTTTATGTGTTACAGTTTCCATGTATTATTGATTAGTAGAATTTATATTTTTGTTTTACTACAGTGTTTAGGGTTAAGATAAAAACGCCTTTAAAAAAATTTTTCTCTTCTTAATGCAACTACAATAATTATTGAAATTCAATTTTAATATATGAATGCAATTACGGTGTGGCAGAAATTAAATCAAGAAATGTTAAAACTAATACAAATAATTTGGAAAAATGAATAAAATACTTGTTTGTAGAATTTGAATTGAAGAACAACTGGACGTAACGCTCGAGTCCAATGTTTGTAATTAGTTCATAGCTCAGTTCTAGCTCAGACATCTCATAAACAAACTAAGTTTCTTAATACTGAGTGTCAATTACAACATAGAGATAAAGTGACCCAACACAAACTTACAATGTACAGTATCCGATTACATACAAAATATTTTCAAATTAAAAATAGAAATGAAAATGTTTGAATTTCCTAACACTCGATTGTGACAAATTAAATTACCAATTAAGATCTCCGCACAAAAATTACTTTAAAAAAAATATACGAACTGAAATTTAAAAAAAAAAAAGTTATGTCCAAAAAGAAAGAAAGATAAGATATAAATGAAAATTAACAAAAGGCAATTTGCAAATTAACCAAACTTGCACTTCGGGTTAACAATAAGGAAAATAGCTAGGTCAGTCAAATTTTAAAAACTGATTTACCTTAATACCATATTAAATTTGAAAGCTTGTTTTGGATTTCAATTAGTGATTAATCGTATTAAATGGGTTGTAATGTAAAATCTAAGAAGACTGATCACCTTTTCTGATTATAAAAGCAATTTATCCTTACACATTTTTCCTGAAATCCTGGTTAATGATTGCAATAAAATACCAATAAAAAGAAAACAAAAGTAGAAAAAATGCAGAATGAAAAGAAAAATAAAAGAGAAAAAGAAGAAAAAAAATGTCACAGAAAGCAAATTTTGGACATAAGAAAAAGAAAAAAAATTTTCCTGGATATTTTGCTATTAAAGTGATAAATATGATAGGTAAATAATAAAGTGAAATAAAGATAATACGGAAATCTTGGACTTCACAATAACAACCACTGTGTAATTTTTTATTTCATTTTGTTTTCAAGCAAGGTAAACAATACTCAAGTGTAATTCCAGATTGAAATTTTTCCTGTAAAATTGTTTTTTGTATTATGTGTTACTTACATTTTAACTTACACATTTTTAAAAATGTTTATAATTTTTTATTACGTTTGAAGAGTTAGCTTAAATTGTGTTATTATGAAGAATACATCTTATAGTGAAAAAACTTTGTTGTGATCAAACTTTGCTGTGAGCAAAAGACATGGAACTGAAAAACGGCTAATTCATAATAACTGTTGAAAATGAAAATCTTAAATTTGCTGATAATGCTACCACAAATTTTTAATCGTGTTAAAATTTTTACCATGAGTACATATATAAATGTTTTATAATTCATATTACTTTGATATATTGTTAATATTACAAATTTGATTATTTTCATTTTAATTGTGCTTCTATCAGAGGAAAGATTTTGCAAATAGATAATTTTTAAAATTTTTGGTTTGCAATTAAACATTTTTGGCGAGGGGGGATGTAACATAAAAAGTTTCAATTAATCTTTTTATGTTATCCTAATTAATTATTCTAATCGAAATACTTTCTCACACTTTTAAAAGTCACATCCTGTTCTTAAATCTATTTTTGGTTCAAGTGTGCATTTAATTAAAAGCAGGACATTTTTCCCTTTGCTCTCCGTGGGAAACGCTCGATCTATTTCATAAACCAATAGCAACTATTAAGCAACTAACAATAGCAACTAACCCATAGCAACTCCCTCTTTCCCTAAATTGAAACATATTACGGATTTACTTTGCAAGAATTTCCCTAACATATAAGCGAGGAGCGCAACTTTTCATGTTCACTTTTTACACACCTTTCATGACTGCTCTCTCTAATAAGTAATAAATAAATTTTGTACCCTCCTTTCCGGCCTAAGACCTGTTTTAATCCTTCAACTCGGCAACGACGTTATATATATAATTTCGAAAAATACGCTCCTTACCCCATAATCGGAAGAAAAATAATTTTTTTTACCAGAAATATTCACAAAAATGACATATTTTTCGCTGAGTATAATTAAGCACCATCAGACTTAATAGAATAAGAAAATGGATTGAAATTTTTTTTTAACTATCACTTTGAATGCTTTTTAGACAGTTTTTTTTTTAAATTGGGGGGGGGGGGATCTCCAAATTTTGTTTTTCAAAAGTACACTTCATAAGCAATTTTTTTTTAAAAAATAAAATTTTTATTATTGATCATGAGATTGTATCTTTTCGTTATTTTGTTTTCTGGATTGTAATTTTTTTTTTTTTAAATTTTTAAAATTTTTTCATTGAATAGAATAGAATAGATATTTTTTATATGTATGTAAATTATCATTTTATGTATACAAATTATTTGTCCTCACTCTTAATTGGCTGAAAATTGCGTATAATAGCATCTTCCTTTAAAATGCGAATCGAAAGAAATTTAAGAACGAAAACAATACCAAGTTAAGCACTTTTATTCATTTTTGTTCCACCTTCATTTCGAGTTTTTGATAAGTGGGCAAAAATAGGTAACGCCTACTTATCAACTTAAAAGCGGTTATTATTACGAGTTCATACGGAAATTAGTTGTGCCTCGCGAAAAGTAAAAAAAAAAGTAAAAGTTTCAAATTCTAAAGGAAAACCTATTTTTTACGTCAGTTTTACTTTGAGAATTAATGGCTTGTGCATAGGGGTTGGTTCCTTCAAACATTCTATTGCTTTTGTTCAATGTATAATTTATATGAGATGGCTTCGTTAAATCATATGGGAATACGGTGTGAAATTTTAACCATAGCAACGCGTGCAACAATCGCCATTTTTAATTTAGAAATAGCTTATACTACAATTATATAGATGAAATGAAGTAGTTAATGCCTGTATAGATCCGTCTTATTAGAGAGAAATGTTTTCCTAATTATCCCCGATAATTAGTAATTCCTTAAAAATTCCCTTATTTAGAAGCAACAGCAAAAAAAAATTTCTAAAAAAAGTGTTAATATTAACATTGTAGCATTTCAGAAGCACTAATAAGAAATTATTTATTATCATAAAAAATTATTTACGAAAACTATTTATTAAAACTATTGTGAAATGAATCGGTTATTTAATTCAATTGTACTCAAATTATTTCAGATATTCAAATAAATTTTTTTCCCAAATTCAGATATAAAAAAATCGCTTCATATTAGTTCGTTTGCAGAGTTATACAGAGTGCTCCATAATTTCCGCATAAAAAATATATTTTTACAACCTTTGAGCAGAATAAAGTTTGATTTCCCCAAAAAATGAAGTAAAGAAAATATACACAAACAGGGGACGCGAATTAGTATTTAAACGAGGTAAAAAAAGACATAAAATCATCAAAACTAGTTTGATTGCCTGATGAAACTTGGAGATGGTCCTCCTGCCCCAACAGGCTAAATATTTTTTTCATCTCGCCCTTCTCACTAGTGATGCGATTGATTCCGATAGCATTATTGAATCTTTCTCGCTTAAATGTTAGTTTGTAACCCCTAAAATGTAAATATTTTTTTTTAATTCGTGTCTAAAATATATGAAAGGGTGGTCATTACAGAACACCCTGTACACACATCGAACTATTTATCTAATTTTTAAATCTATATATATATATATAAGAAAGAGACAAAAAAGAATTAAAGAAAAGCGAGATAAACAAAAAAAGAAAATAAGAAAAATTAAAAAAAAAATTAAAACATTGTTGAAATGAAAATAATATTGTTTTGACTTAATTCGCTTGGGATATATTAATACAATATAAGAAAGCAATCTAATTTGCGGATAAAATCGGGTGAGCTGACTATGATAAAATCGTTATCTTTTCGTTGTCTTGTTTTCTGGCAATTTCATTTTTTTTTTTAAATACTTCAAAGTTTAATTTTTTTTAGTAATTTTGTTTTGAATATTTAATTTTTTGTTTTCTTGGAGTATATATATACATACATACACGCACACGTGCACGAATGTATGTTTAAAAACATTTCAAACTGTGAGAAAAATATTTCCTTTTACTCGTGAAATTATATGTTTAAACGTTAAAAGAAAAACAGCAATGTGTTTTTTTTTAAACTGGAAATATTTCAAACTAAAAGCAGAACATTTCATTATGTGTTCAAAGAAATTTTTTTTTTTGTAAAGAAAAGTATCTGAAAATCGTCTACATCAGCATTTGCTGCCTAAATACTATAATAAAACATATTACGGAATTAAGGTTAAAGATTATTGTATCCAAGCTGAGCAAACTTATCATAAAATATCTATAACTGACATGCTTTTAACAATAACTCTGACAGATGTTCCGTAAAAATGATTTTGAAACTCAGCTTCTCGATTCATAATCTACTAAAAATATGGAATGACTCTTTTTTAAAAGAAGGCTCCAAAGATGTTATTGTACTGGTTTCATTTTATGGTGTTTGTCATTGGCAGTGTAAGTAGTGATGTGGAATACAGTACCGTTGGACATTGGATTCCTGGAGAGGACAATGATTTGGATAGTAGAGCCGATTTTTTTAAAAGAAAGTGGGGAGTTGAACATGTTATGCGTGATTTGGAGTAAGTTATAATGATATTAAATTAAACCTTAATTCATTCAGAGACAATTCCTTTAAGGAAAAGAAAATTCAGCTTCGTGTTATTGTTATACACGAATTGGAATAAGTTAATAATATTATAATTAAACCTTATACTAAAACCAATTTCTTTAATAAACAAATTGTGTGTTGTATTGGGCGAGATTTTAATGATATTAAATTAAGTTTTAATTAAACCAGAGCCAATTTCGCTGTGAAAAAAAAATTGAGGACTGTATTATGCGAAATTTGGAGTAAGTGAATGATATTAAATTAAGTGTCAATTAAGCCAAAGCATATTTCCCTGTGGAAAAATTATGTGTTGTGTTATTGTTGTGCGAGATGTAACAAATGTATGCAACAAATAATGGCACATGTTAAGGTAGAGAAAAAATAATGGCACTTAGCCATGGTAATAAGTAACAAATAATTGAATGTATAGAAAAGTTCAAGAAGTAGGAAAACAAAAATTGCGCGAAGGAAAAATACTTACAAAAAATGGGAAGAATTAACAAATATTCATAATGAATAACGTTAAGATTATTAAAAGCTTCATTAACAAAAAAGTGTACCTCTGTTAATGTAGAGACCGGACCGTCCTGGTTATTACCACTTGTGTCGGTTTGCTCTCGGATAAATCTCGTCCTGATCAAACCCACAGACGGTAAAAGTAACCTCAATAATGTTTGATAGCTTATAGCTCTCATGATTTAAAAAAAAAGTACTAACTACAAGTTCTTTGATAATTAATTATTTATTATGTCAGATAAACTAAATAATTAGTGTGAACGTGTTAGAATGGGCAAACTACTTTACCCAATTCTTAAGTTACTTGAAACCAAGTTTATGTTATGTTTATAGTCATGCTTTTAAAGTGTGGTTCTATAAAACTAAATAATTTAAAATCAACGGTAATTGAGATTTTTAAAAAAAAGTTATGCACTGAAAAAGAAAGAAAAGTGAATAGAGAAATGACCTCTTTACCACTACTTTCACTTCCCCCAATTAAATATCCCACTCTTGTCATAAGGAGGGTTGGGGATGGGATAAAAGATATCATCGGACCCTCCTGTCTGTCACCCAGATCGAAAAAGGGGTCATTGTGTCATTTGGCCAGCATGTTTAAAATGTATCCTTAGCAAGCAACATATCGATCTTTTTCAAAAAGCTGTTGTCCTATGTGACTCAAGAGCTGCTTTGCTTGCCATTGCATCCTTAAATAATCCCTTAACTCAAGACATTTTGGATTGCCGCCTCCAACTTGAATACCTAGCATCCCTTAGGAAAACCATAGTTCTCCAGTGGGTTCCTGCCCATTGCGGGGTTACGGGTAATGAAAATGCAGACTACTTAGCAAAAACGGGGGCCTTCATTATTTAGACTTCTGCGCACATTATGCCCTTCTGTTCCATCAAACAGCTTATTAAGAGGACCTTTAAGACCTGTGCTCATGAAGAACTTATCGACCGTACTTCTACTAAGTCTTGGAGGGCTACCATCCTAAATTTGCGAAGTGGCCCAAGACGAAGAGCGGTGACTGAATTCCGCTTGGCCACCGATCATGACTGTCTGCGGAAACATCTGTCTAGATTTGGTGTCGTTCCTACCCCGGTATGCACTCTTTGCAGTTCTGGTGAGGACATGGACTCCACGCACCGTCTCCGCTGTCCTGCCCTTTGCAGGAATTCTATCACTGAACGCTATTGGGAAGCTAGAAACATGTTGTGATTAATAGACTCTGTTGCAGAATCTTTTGTTTCTGTTCTTATTTTCAGATGTTTATGTATGCTGTTACTGTCTATAATCTGCCATTGGAAATAAAATTAAAATTAAAAATAAAAAAATTCCAGTACGCTTGCGTCAGTTCTGATGAAATGCGATATCGAATGATCATATCAAAAGAGAAATATTAGTTTGTTTATTTTCTACGTGCCTTCAAGCCTGTCTTTGTGAAATAAGAAATATATAATGAAAGAATTGAAATCTTAATGTAAGAATTTTCGTGTAAGAACGTAGATTAACGCCACTTCCCATGTCCAAATACATAAACAAGGAATAAATTTTAATTAAATAAAAGTCATAGGCGAGAAAAATTTATATTTCAACAAGATCGATGCTCGATACGGCACTGTATTTATAACTTCACGTTAATTATAATTCTGACTTATGTGGAGAAATTTAGCTCAACTTTAACAAGCCATTTTGCTTATAAACGTTCAGCTGGAGTTGATGTCATAGGTCACATGTGTGGGTATCTGTGATATTCTTCTTGAAGTGCAAGCACCCAATTGCTTACGTTGGATTATTTTAAAATCTGATTACATGCGGATTACATGAATATCTAAAAAACATTTCAGAAATTTAACTTACCAAAAGGGAAATTAACTACACATAGTATTATTTAACTTGTGCTTGTAAATAGGAAGAAAGTGCTTTTGTATTAAAACAGATTTAGAATCACAAATTTAGTTCCATTGCGAAAAAAATTTAAACCTAATCATTTCGCTTGCTGATCATTGCAACTCCATGTACCATTTTGATTAGTTGTTTTAATTACTATTTAATTTTTGGCACCGTAAAAAAAATTTTAAAGTGTATTTTGCCTTCTTATTTAGTAAGAGTACTCACAGTTAATTCCTAATAATGTTTTATAACGAGAGTAAATTAATTGTTTGATAGCCGTAAATGTATCTATCAATATGAGTATTCAGCTATAGCAAACAGCAATACTTTATTAGAGTATTGCTGTTAAAGAGAGTCTATAAAACAGTAATGGCAAACAATTTGAGAATAGTAACTACTCCTTATCTAGATTTGGAATAATTTAACCACTGTCTGTTTGCTCTAGTTCGAAGCAAATTAACAATATATTAATATAAATTCAAAATGTAGTGAAAACATGGAAAAAATTACAAAACAATGAAAAAAGGGGAAAATAAAAATAATAATAAAACTCCGGAAAATAATAGATATAATTTTTTCATCAGCTCACACGATTATAGAAGCAAAAATGAGTGCTTTCTAATATTGTATCAATATCGCCAAATACATATAGAACGAACTCTTAAACTAATATTAGGCAGTGTAAACAGAATTAATTTGTTATCCTTCTTATGTTTCAGACACATAAAACATGACATAAAAGAAATGATGGACTTAAAAACCACGGGTAAACTCTCACAACTGGAAATGTTATTCTACATGATTAGGTACGTAATCAATTTTTTTTAAATACTTAAAATACTTCAAGTATCCTTTTTCTTTTAATCCACTGCTTGAACTGAATCAATTAGGAGGCCTCAAAATCAGGAGTTGGTATACCTGATAACAATGCTTGAAAGAAGGACAAGCTTCTTTCATTGCTTTGTGCGAGGTTACTGAAAATCCAATGCATAATAAGATTAAAAAATCGAGAGTCGTGAAGCCTTCTAAATCATTAAGAGTAAAGTGGGAGTCTTGGTGGCTTAGGGGATAGATCACTCGCCTCCTAATGAGGTGAACCGGGTTCGAATCCCAACGATGGTGAATCGATTTGAATTCAGCAACCAGCTCGCACCGACCACAGAAAATATCCTCAGTAGTAGACAAATTATGAGTTAGAGTCCCCTTTGCTGTTAGGCTAACCGTGGGAGGTTTTCGAGGTTTTCCTCCCCTCGTAAAGCAAATGCGGGTTAGTTTTATAAAAAAGACCTCCATGAAAGCAAATCTCTCCCAATATTTGATCCAGGAGTTCCCTTGTCTTCTGGATTGGGTTCAAAATTACAAAGCTACTTAGTAAATAATTCTAAAAACATATTTTTCATGTGGAAATATTTTTGGATAAAGGAATTTTGAAATAGTGTGCAAAACTGCTTCCTTCACTTAATTCTTCAGATAGGGTGGAATTCTCAAAAAGTAAAATTATTATTAAGGGGTCTGTCGATCGCTCTCTAAGGGGGCGGGACAATCAGAGACCGATCAAGAGAAATTCAGGTCCAAGGATCCCCAAATTTTCCGAGCCCCTTACAAAATATTTTGATATTAAATTACTGAAGAGTAGTCCTAGCAATAAAGCAGAATCTACTAAACTGTATGATTCAAGAGAAGCATTCTAAGAAATTTGGATAGCACACAATTGAAGATTATTTTTCTAAGATAAAGTTCACGCATCTATAATTTAAAGCAAAATATTAAAAAAAAATAATAATAATAATGTTATATATGTCAATTAAAATTAATGATTTTTGCTAAAAATCAGTGATTAGCTGAACTATTTTTTATTGTAAGCTGTAATTATTTTTTATTTAGTACTTAAACCAACACAAAGCTAGCCCACCTTTCATTAGATGCAACGATAAGTTCAGCATGTATGCTAAGGTATTTATATTAAAAATTACAGTTATAATTTATATACAAGGTTATAATTTATATTAAAAAATACAGTTCAACACGGAAGAAATATCCAGAAGAACAAAAATTATATCTACTCATAGATTATTAAAGTACGTTTGAATAATAATTTATTTAGATATAAAATATTTTAAAGCATTAAAATTCATATTCAATGAAAAAGTTATATTCAAAATATTGGTACATTTTAAACTTTCAGTGAATTCAATTTAAACTCTCAAACAAAAAATTTAATCAAACTCTCAATGAGAGCAGCTTCATCAGAGACAGAGGACTCCACTTTATCAACAGAGAAGTATTTTGATGACGAATTTCTTTTCTTTTTTTTGTTAGCCTCATCATTAAAGCTTTTTTTCTTTCATTTAGCGCTACCAGAACGATTATTAGGTTTCATCATTTAAAAACTTTCAAATAAATCAAACTTTTTATAGTGTAGGTTTATGCTAATTAGTTTAAAACATCAACAACAAGGATCGTAGTCTTCCGTCTACAGCTTTACATATTTGTTAAGAATAAGCATATAGCTCTTGTTGACACTCATCATTTATAAGAAACTGCGAATGTACATTCTCGTTGCATTCGCGTAATCCGCTTGCGTAAAAATTGCGCTAATTGAAATTCAGCTGTACTTTCGAATTAGATTAGTGCAATATTTGCATGAGTTTGGTTGTATCAGAATATAAAGAAAATTTGAAATTTTTTAAAAAAAACCTTTTTTTTGAGAAAAACTGTTTCTTTCAGTATTTAAACGAAACAGTAATAATGAGGACTTTTTACTAATTTCTGAGGCAAAACAGAAATTGTGGGCCCTAGGCCCATGCCTAGTGGACCTAGGGGATAATCAGGGTCTGGGGACCTTATTTCCCTGATTACGGCAACCCCCTCTTTTTTGAGGGTCAGAAATTATAATCGGTCGAAAAATATATGTTTAGTAGGGGGCCCCTGCTTGTTCCCACTCACCTTCCCCGATAATTGATTCCCAATAATTTCTTGTCATGAAACAGTTGAAATTATTCAACTAAGAAGAACACTTGTGCCTCCAAATATTTCACTCCCTTTACTATTACGATATTTAAGTGAAATCATTTTTTTAAGTAATCATTTCTTGAAATAAAATTAAAAGTATAGTGTTATAACAAATTGGGTGAGTTCACAACTGCAATTTAATATTTTTACTTACAAAATGAACGGATGTATATTTTAAATACAATTATTACATTTATCACTTTGCGCATGAAGCTGAAAGTGAAGTTCCAAATCATTTAACGAATCTCTTTAACAGTCATTCATAACAGTACATTGATGTAATTTGCACGAAAAAGAAATAATTGTAAAATGGTTAATAAGATCAGACACCGATTTAATAATATCTAACAATAATAAAGAACAACTATAACGATAAAAAAAATCTGACAATAATAATAATAAAAAAAATTTCTTAAACTCTTAATTTAGAAAACAAACAAAATGAATGCAGTACAGGTAATAACAGTACAGGTAAATACCTTTAAATGAGGAATGCAAAAATATTTATTGGAAAACAATAACTTTAAGACTGTTATTCATTTTATGCTGGTGACAACCAAACCAATATGAAAATGAATGTGTGAAAACTGGATCCTAACAAGTGATTTTCCCGCCAATAAAAATGTATTGACAACAATAGAAAACTGCGACACCATCATTACATTTTTTTATAGAATTAGATTAAGAGATTCTTTGTGTTTGATTTCGTAACTTACAATAACGTCTGCTCTAACGAAATAGTATAATTGAGGTCTTCAACCCATTAAGATTGCATATACTAGCACGTAAAAATTAGATTAAAAAGAGTGCTTCGTTTATTTATTTATTTTCGCGTAATGAACAAAACTGTCTCTGTTTTTTCACAATGATCGGGATTTAAAGATTATTCCAGGTAATTTGTTATAAATCGGGGACAGTCCATAAATGCTTGAAAGGGGTGAAATAGATTGAGACAAGAGGAAGAAAGAGGGTTAACAAGAAGTGTGACAACGCATTTTTCGGCTAAAGTCGTTGACAGGTCGACCCAATTTTGTGAGCCTACGACTACTAAAGTTAAACTCCGTAGCCTTGTCATTTTGAACCAGAAGACAAGGGAACTCCTGGATCAAGTATTGTGAGAAATTTGCCTTTCCCAGAGAGCTAAGTAGAGAGTGAAACTCTCTTTTTATAGCCTCTTTTTGAGAGGCACGCAATTTTTATGTTGGAGAAAACCTTTTGGAGAGATCATTAAAACCTCTCACAGCAACGATCAAATAAGGAAACACACATCCCTCAGTGTTAATTTCACTTTGCGTATTTCGCTATAAATCGAACACTTTTTAAGGGAATCGACATATTTTTTTGCGCACAATTGTAAAAATTTTTTATCCAAATATAATTCCAAGTAAAAAATAATTTTAAGAAATATTTATTACTTTTAATTAATTTATATAGTTACAGTCGAAAAAGTTTAGAATGGTAAGGTATACAAGTTCTTATATCAATTGAAAGAATGTATCTTTAAATAACAAAATAATTTGAGAGAAATAGGTCGAATAGTTCTAGAGAAATTAAATTTCAAATGAATCAAAAGTTTTAACAAAAAATTGGATAACTCAGAAACTATTCAATCCATTAAGTGAAGCACTTTAAAGATTGAATCTAGTACGAGAAAATATAATCATTAGTGTAACAAAAGAGATGATTGCTTATCGGCTATATTTTTAAATGTAAGAAGAGTCATTAAACTAAATTAATCGAAATCAATAGTAATTACAAGTATTTTTTCTATCAGGCACGTGATTAAAATAAAAGTATACCATAAATTTAGTGGTAAGTACAATTTCAGATTGTTTGACATAACCCAGCCGATCCGTCGCAATGAGATACCTGCAAGAGACGTAGTGAGGGGTATCTCGATGGGTTGTTGAAACGTTTCATTTGTTTACGTTAGCAACTGTTCTTTCCATTCTATTTTGGGTATGACAAGCCCGTCAAGTATCAATTCTCTTAACTGACACATTGAATATTCAAGTATTTCAAGTCTTTCATTATATATTTCTTACTTAACACAAAGACAGACATGAAGTCATGTAGAACATAAACTAAATAATTATGCATCAAAGGTGCACAAAATATATCACGGTTGAAGTAAAAGATACAAACAAATAATAAAGAAAAGACGTAGACGGGAAAGAATTATATTTCAGCAATTTCGATGTGCTGTATTTATTTAACTTCACGTCAATTAAAATTCTGACTTATGTGGAGTAACTTTGCTCAACTTTAACACGCCATTTTGCTTATAAACGATTAGCTGGAGCTGACATCATAGGTTACATGTGTGGGTATCCGTGATCTTCTTCTTCTTCTTGAAGTGCAAGCACCCAATGGATCAACTGTGTTTAATAATGTGACTTCGAAATTATAATCCATAGTACAACTAACGAAACATAGTAATGCTCGCGAAATATCTAATGAAATGAAAACAATACGACTCGTCCTTTCATTTTCAATAGTAGTCGACGTCTGGTCAACAACAAATTGAGCATGACCAAAATGAAACAAACAATTTTATCTCACTGCTTATTTATTTCGATTTAAGAAAGTAAGAATGCGACACGGTTTGTGCAAATTTTGAATGAAACATAAGTTACTATTTTGAATTTAGTACAAATATAATTAAAATACAAAATGAGCAAGGAATCAATTCAAGTTATTTTTACGTAACAGAATTTATTTAAAACTTATGTAGATTCAAAATTAAAATAAATTAATCTTAATGAAAATTACAAATAAAATTTGGAGTTTGGGATAGTCAGCATAAAATGTAAGTTAACAAATTGGTTCTAATAAAATAAGTACTTTGATTAGCACGTTTCTTACTAGAATATAAAAATCTGATGATGATGTCACAGTTTTCCATTGCTCATGCATTTTTATCGGTCGGAAAATCACGTGGTAGGATTCAGTGTTTCCTCATTCATTTCCATATTGTTCTGGTTGTCATTAGAATTTAATTAATAAGGAGTCATTAAGGTATTGTTTTTCTATAAATATTTTTGTATCCCTAATTTAACAATTAATACGCTTTTAATTTAAGAGTTTAAAACTAAGAGAATTGTTATTTTTTAGTATGATTATTATAATGTAATTCTGCGACAAATATTTTAAGAGAAAGTTATTTGAAAGGTGGTCTAATATTACTAACCGTTTTACAATTATTACTTGGGTGCAAATAACATTAAACTTTTATAAATGACAGTTTTAAGAGATCTGTTAAATGATTTAGAACTAAGCGATCAGCTTCATGCGCATTGAGATGCCAGCAAAAATAGTATATTTAATATATCCGTCCGTTTGGAAAACGAGAATATCAAATTACGGTGGAGAACTCATCAAATTTGTTTAAACAATATAACAACATAAATGTTATTTTAAGAAATGATTACTTCCGTTCACCAATAGATCTAAATCTTTATAATGCCAATAGATAATAGTATTTGGACGTGGGAAGTGGAGGCACAAGCAAGCGGAATTCCTTTTAGTACATACATGTTAAGTGAATAATTTTAACTTCAGTAGAGAGACTGTTTTCTGCCAGGAAACAGCAATTATTGCATCGGGGTCTGTGAGCTGCAGCGAAAGAGGGGCTTAGCCCCCTTGTATTTTAATACAAATGAAAATAGCATGTTTCCTTAAATTCAAAAAGTAATATTCAGATTTAAACTTGAAATAAAAAAAGGTAAGGTTGTTATAGGAAACTATAATAATTAGATCAAAAGTAATTCAAGGACACTGTACATTCTGATATTTTAAGGATGCACGACTTTGATAACAATGGCGGACTGGATGGTATTGAATTTAGAGTGGCGCTCTCTCACAGTTTAGAGCATAATACTGATGCAGTGAATGAAGAACGCACGGCAGAAAAAATAGAAGGTATGAAATTTCAATACTACTAATTTTTGAAGGGTTTTCTATCTTTTTGTCATCTTGTCCATAAGCATACATCCCTCTGCAGAGGATCAAAATTGTGATGGCATGTCTTCGGATCATCCTCAGGGCCAATAGCCCATTGTGCAGCTCTAGTGCGACGTAAATGAACAACAACAACATAAGCATATTGTTTAAAAAGTTGAAAATTTGTATGAGGAACATATTTCACTTTCTTCACATAGCAATAAAATGGATGGTTTACTTTCGGGTCATTCTACGCAGAAAGCAAAATTACTTAAGACCGTTTTCAGAAGGCTCCGTCGCTATATGTAATTATGCTCCTTTTCTTGCGCATAATATGCTATTTTCAAAACAGTTGTGAGTCTGCAACAGACTGTTTACTGTTCAGTCAAGTTTAGCCAGTGTGTCTATGCTTATTTTGAAAATGGCGCAAAACGTCAATATGGAGGAAAGCCACAGTTTTGCGTGTGTGGTCTAATTTTTTAAAATTTAAAAATTTACTCTAATGCTACCTTATCTGGGCTCATAAAAATTTTTAAAAACTGGAAAAAATACAGTGATTTTGAAAATTTTCATGTAGGTGAAAAAATGTTACCTAATTAGCGATTTTTTAAAAAAATTTCATAACTTCTAAAATATTTGAATTATTTGTCCGTTTTAAAAACTAGATAATTCTTCACTGCAGGAAGGTATATATAGTTTGGAACCATCTTTTCACTTTCAGTGTAAGACACTTGAACAGTGGCTTTTTTTTATTTTCCTCGGCGTGAATTAACCTTTGTTCTAGAGACAGAAACTCTTTCGCGGCTTACATGGTGGAAAAAAGAATGAACAAGGCAGTTAGTAGGTACTTCAAAAATTGCTCCTCCATTGAGCTTAATATTTATTTATAAAAAGATATTTGAAAATAAGATGTCAAAATTGTTTATCACTATCTCTTTAGATATGGAAAAACAAGATTCCAAAAGTATACGATTTGAAGTAAAATATAAAAATAGGAAAACAAGCTATCACCGAACAAAAAACAAAAATTCACTTGAACTGGATACCTGCAAGTGACGTACTGTGGGTAAATCGATCCTGATTGGTTGTTGAAATGTGGCATTTGCTTACGTTGCCAACTGTTCTTTCCATTCCATTTCGAGTTGTTAAATGAGTTAGTTTAACATGTTGTACATAGATGGCAGCACAAATGCTGATATAGATGGCAGCAGTGCTGTCATAAATATAATATCTAATCTATAATAAAATATTAGTTCAGTTTCAGCCTCCAGCTAGGTATGTTGTTTTATATCTTGTGACCTGCATGCTTGATTGTTGGGTTAATTGTTCACGAGCAAGCCAAGCCCGTCAAGTATGTATCAATTAAGTGACACATTCTAAATTCTTTACAACGATTTCAATTCCTTCACTATATATTTACAAAGAGGCTTAACGCAAAGACAGGCACGTAGCCACGTGGAACATAAACTAATTATGCATCGGAGCTTCCAGGTACACAAAACACAAAAATATGTTACGGTTACAATAAAATAAATCTAAATTAAGTAAAAGAAGTGGACGAGGAAGAATTCGATCTGCGATACGTATTTAGTTAACCTATTGTAAATTAACATCCTAACTTATGTAGAGAGCTCAACTTTAATGCGCCATTTTGCTAATAAAGATTGGCTGACGTCATAGGTCACGTGCATGGATATGGAAGGCCTTCTTCTTGAAGTGCAAGTACTCAATTCTCTACTATCATGGTTGTAATATTGGCTAGTCAAAACTGACTTTAACCAGAACAATAAAAAGAGTAATTTTAACAGTCTAAATGATAGAAAGTGTTGATTCGTCAAAAGGATTTTAAACAGTCTTAATATTTTGCAATTGAGTATGTCCTAAGTCTCTCTATTTAAGTGAGCAATATTGCTCAAATCAGTATGATTCTTCACTGTAGCGAATACGACAGTAAAAGGGTTAATATATTTTTTGTTCTTAACCAAAATTTAAAGCGATTCATTTCATTGTGATATATCACCCCCGATGATTAATACCATTTCGGTCTGTAATGAAGTAACTTTTAAGTTAAAGAAAGATCTTGTTTCTAGACCAGAGATTCCCAAAGTGGTCTATATCGACGACAACCTGAAAAAGGGGTCCATGTCAAGTGGGAAAGAAAAATTGGGGGTCCGTGAAATGAAAATGGGGGTCAACGATAGTGGATCTCATATAAATAGGTCGTACCTTTTAATTTTGGCATTTCATGACTGGAATAATCAACATACACTGATAGTATTTATTTACTTACATTATACTACCTTATAATAAAGACATATATCTATCTACATTCTACATAATTTATAAAAGTAGTTATGAAGTAAAAATTTTATTAAAATTTAAGTTATTAGGATTATTGTTTGATATATGAAACTGAATTATTATAAACCAGGGCTAAAGAGAATAGAAGGGCTAGTTCATTCCGCTCTTAGAGCTGAAGCTGCGATTTTCCTCCTCATGACGTCACGCTGCACATAGATCTCGGTGATCGCAAGCGAAGATATTATGAAAACTTAGTATCATTTTCTCTGTAAAAATAAGTTCGACTTCTTCTTGATATTAGCTTTCAAACTTTATGCAATTAATATATTATTTTCTTTCAAAAACATAGTTTTCTAAAATTTTCTTGGCCAAAATATTAAATTAAATACCATTTTAAACTAACAAAAATATTTTATTAGTTGTCGTAAATTACGCTATAAATACTTTATTTTAAAATGTTCAGTTTTAACTTTTATTATTAAAAAAAATTTAATGCATATATCAACAATTTTTTAGCTGCATATTGTTCGATAACAATAATTTTTAAAGTTAGGTTAAATTTAGAATCTTGATTTTAAAATATGCTATTAATGGAAATTTGTTTATACTTAATCATTAGGAAGCAACAACCTTAAACGCTAATTATTCTAACAGAATAATAATTTAGGTTCATGAAAATATTAGAAATCTTACAATTGTTTATCGATATTTAAATTTAAAATAATATAATTATAATAAAAAATAATTATATTATAATTAAAAAAATAATAAATGTTTAGAATAACTACATTGAAACCTACTTTATGAAACTAGGAAAATTTTAACTATTAATTATCTATACTTTTCATTTAAGTTTTTATTTTCCTTGACTTATTCATTTTTTAATTTTTTTGTCTGCCTTTTTCTTTTTTTTTTAAGAAGCTGGGCGATTTCAATTTAGATGGCGAATTCTTTTAAAATTTCTGAAATTTAAAATAAGAGTATTGCTGTTTTATTCACTGTGGGATATCGTCCCTCTAGTTCACTTATAAATTCTTTGATGGCACTTTTTTATTTTCTGTCCCATGCACACTTTAAAAAAATATTCTCAAATTCCTGACACACTTCCATCCATGCTGCTGACGGAACAATTAGTCCTCCCTTAGATAAGAGAGCACTTGGTAGAGTTAGAGCAATTTTAAAATCATTCTAATCAGCAATCCCAGCAAGCGATTTCTCATATCATCTTCATAATCTTGTTTTAAGAAATGCTTACAGCATATTCGTTCATATTTAATATTAATTGGGTCGTTTCGTTTGTAATGTTGAAGCCATTCTTTACATAGTTGTTCATTTACTTTAGGGAACACGTGGAAAATTATATCTTTTCCTTTTATGTTTCTATCAGAATTTTTGTAAGTTGCAATCGCACAAACTGGCATTTCATAAATAATTTTAAATTTTTGTAATTTACTTCACAAAACTGAGAAAAATCATTACAGAAAAAAAAAACTTGGAATATGTCACAAAAAGGAATGCTCCAATATTTGTTAAACCGAACGCTTCGTTCTTGAAGTAAAAGAGCAAGCTTTGCGCCACCGTGAAGTCACAGGCGAAAATCGGATGTTTGGTGCGGCGAGAGAGTTTCTTCAAGGGAGTAAACTAGTCCTTCTATTCTCTTTAGCCTTGTTATAAACTAGCAGTTGCGTGCAGCTTCGCCCGCTTACGTTTTTATTTTCTCTGCGGATAAGGTTTTATTTTGTAACAAGAAAGTATTTTTCCGCGGTAAATTGTAGCCTATCCTGTGTCAACTTAGACCTCCAACTTTATCTACTCACAAGATCACTGAGATTTGTTGCTTAGTTCAAGGCTGTCCAACTGGCGCCCCGCGGGCCGCATGTGGCCAGCCAACACATATTGTGCGGCCCGCCAACTTCTTATTCAGGTTGATCGGCCTCAGTTTTTCCATGAAAATGTAAGCCAATTGTTTTATAATCCTTCTGTTCCATTGTTTTATAATTAATAATTCAACTATTAATTGTTATTGTATATATTGTTCAACTTTTTCAAACTGCGACCCGCCAGGTGATCAGTGACCGGAATTCTGGCCAGTGGGCCCTTTGCAGTTGGACAGCCCTGGCTTAGTTTTTACGTGAAAACGTAATAAACAGACAGACAATACACTATTACGGTTTTGTATACAAACTTAATTCCGCTATTATAATATTACTAGCGGAGTACTGGTTTCACAGTACACTATTTTATTCCATTTACATATTGATTAAATTAAATTAGTTTGAATTTAATTAATAAATGTATAAAGTTAACATGTGTTTTTTTTTTAAAGTTTTTCACACTACACTTCACTAAAGTTAAAAATTTAAATCTTTCACAGTGAGTAGCACTGTACCAGCTGTCAAAATTACATTTGAAGTGGATGAATTTCCAAAAAATCAATATCAAGTAAGCAGAGGGTCTAGCCAAGCCTAAAAACATGGCAAGGGGTCTACGAGACAAAAAAGTTCAGGAACCACTGTTCTTGACCTTCAAAATCAAATCCTCGAATGAAACATGGCCATGAAAATTAATTTTTTTTAAAAATCCATTTTTATCATTGATTATTTTTCTGTATTTTTTCTAGAGATGATTGAAAATTTGATGAAGGTTGATGACAACAATGATGGTTTTATAAATTACGGTGAACTTAGGTCTCATTTGCAACAAGAACAAAGAGAAGCTGAGATGAACAAAAAAACAGAAACTTAAAAAAATCACGTGTTTCACAAATATTTTTTTCTTCTTCATATGTTTCAACTGTTGTATTCCATCAATAATAAAAAAGTGTGTTTGACTAATCATTAGCCGGAAAAACTTTAATGGTTCGATTTTATTGAAACAGTTATTTACGAAGTTTTTCATCCCAACGATAATATTTAACTAACAACTTTAAAAATAAATTGATTCTTGAATGGAATGTTCGAGTTTTTATGACGTCTCAAAAGTTATGCGATTTCCATACTTTCCTTTCTCCTTTGCTATGGTTTCGGCAAATCTTACTTTTATCGCGCCAGTATATTCCAACCAGTGCCGGATTACGCATTAGGCCAGACTAGAACATGGCCTGGGACCCCCAATGATTAGGGACCCCCTTAAAATGGATTTTTTGAAAATAAATTTTAAAAAATTGAGATGTTCTCCGTGAAATTAATCTTGATAATATTATAGATGAGTTAACATTATAGAGATTGATCACAAGAGCAGAAAAAAAGATTTCTGAATACCAATTTTATAGTAGCGTTGATTTTGTAAAGTGTTAATAAATTTCAGTTTTTTTCAAAATGTTATGATTATTTTTTAATTCTAATTTAACAAAATAAAGTAAAATTTAATTTACTATTATTTATTTTTATGCTTTCTTAAATGAAAAGATACATAAATACTTTTACATTTGAATAAATAAAATTTTTTTTTATTTAAGAGCCCCGCCTACGCTCAATCCAGCACTGATTCCAACACCATACTGTAACGTCCTAGAGAGGGGAAAAAGCAAAGGGGAAAAAATAGTGAGGGAAAAAAAGCAAAGGGAGAAAGAAATTAGAGCGGAGAAAGAAAAAACAACAAATTTTAGAAAAGAGCACAAGGGGAAAAGAAATAATGAGAGGAAAGAAAATTTGCGGAAAAAGCGCAGTAGAGAAATAGCGTGGTGAAAAAGCAAAATTTGTGGAGAAAGCAAATGGGAAAAGAGACAGAGTAGGGAAAAAACAAAATTTGGAGGAAAAGCAAAAGGGGGAAAAAATAGCGTGAAGAAAAAGCAACGGGAAAACGAAGTAAAATCGAGACATAGTAGTTTCTGATGGACAGATGTTTATGAAGTTTGGATTAATTCGATTCATTTCCGTTGGTCGAAGTTTTCAATCACAATTCAAAATAATGAAAAAAGTTAAGAGATTCGTTGCATGTAACCTCATGAACAGTTTTGNGGAGAAATGATGGAAAAGCGGGTTTTAGAAAATGGAGCTTGAATGCGCTTTTTTAAAAAAAAAAATTAATCTAACTTGCGGTTAAAGAAATGGAAAGAGCTCAAAATATGTGATTTAGAAATGAATACAAACTAAAGATGCGCGTTTGAAGAAAATCTCCATGGCTCAAAATGCTCTTTTGAAAAAATTAATAGCATGCGCACCTAAGTTTTAAAAAGTTTCATTATTTTTGCTCACATTTCAATAAAAATGTTTTATCCTCATGGGCGTGAAACATACCAGGGCTCGAAAAAACTCAGAAATTTTACCCGTCCCCGAGGACGGCTTGTCCAACTATGTACCCGTCCTCCTTTGAAACTAACCCGTCGCTTCTAAATAAATAAAAATATTATTTTTTCTTATTTATTACAAACATTTATATAAATTACACAATGAATTAGTAGCTACTAGAATTACATTATACAGTAATAAAAGAAATACTAAGTTACTAATAGTGAAACCTAGTATTTCTTTTATGAAATAATTTATTTCTTTTATGAAATAATTTAAATGACAAAGGTCAAGCTATCTGGAATGTCAATTTATCGGAGGGTACGGCGTTTTTTAAATGAATCAAATATGACGTTTACCAGTTCCACAATCAAGCCTATGATTTACAGAGGTTTCTGCACAGAAATCTGAAAGGGGTTTTCCATTTAGGTGGATGTTCATAATTCCGTTTAACGCTTACGTGATGTGATTTTTTGTAAGTCCATTGCTGAAAAGTCCCTTTCAACTGCTGCAGTACTCCCAGACGGAAAAAAACATCAATCCACCATGCGCAGTATGTTACTGTACGGGATTTCCAGATTAGAGGGTCATTTTAGAAGTGAGGCGCTAGACTCTGGTAAGATAACAAAAATTGAAAGTGTATCACGAACATTAACGGGAAAATGGCCGTCCGCGGGAAATTTTTGACCGCCGAGGACGGGCGGTTTTTCGAGTCCTGAAACATACACTACCTCTTTAACAATGGAAGACACGCTTTCAGTTTTTTAATTTTTTTTTCCCTTCAAAAGTATCAAGATAATAATTTCTAATTTTTGAGGTGTTTATTTCATAAAATTTCTTATCAAAGAAATTTAAATCTTTCGGAGGTTTGATGAAGCGGATAAAAATTACAAATGAAAAAGAATGTTTTATATCATCTTATACCAGAAAAAATAGCAATAAGTTTGTAACTTATAAGGAATACTTTGAAAATTAGTTCTTTTATAAAAATGTTCGCATCTCTATGAATATAAAAACAAGGCTTACGTAGAGTTCCTGCTATAGGGATGACATTTTCTGATGAGTCGAGAGCCGAAATTTACTGAAATAAAACAAAAATGTTTTCTTATAGACACAAAATGATGGCCGGACAATATGTCTTTATCGGGTGGAATCTCAGAATTATATATATGTATAATTTTTCTTTGCTTTAAAATTAGTCTATTCAAAATATCGATTATACGCAAATATAATGTAAAAAACCTTTATTTTGAGAAATAATTAGATTAAAAAAATTATTATAGCTCCACCTATCCCTTTTATCAAGTAATTTATGTTATCGTATGTTGAATAAATTGTTTTTTTACTTAAAGGTTAGTTTTCTTCGCAGGAAATTATTTCTACTAGAAAAAAATGCAAACAAACAAAAAATAAAGTTTTTTTTATATTTAAACAGTTGCACATCGCTATTCTTTGTTTTAGTTTATTGTCTCCTGAGTGGGAGAAAAATACGATTGTTACTATAGCAACAAAGAATTCGTTGTATATCTATATATAACTGTTACCGTTTAGTGACCGAAATCAAGAGAACGTCGACTTTCACCGGTAAATGTCAACAATCACACAGTCGCTTTGCTGAATGTCCGAAGTGTTTGTTATATCCGATATGATATTCATTTATTCGTTGATATTATTATATTTATTTGATATTTCAATGTTCTGTTGAGGATATATTAGGAGTAGGACTGGGCTATAAATCGATGTATCGAGACATATCGATTTAACGCATATATCGGCAAGACGATACAGTGACTTTCATTCAAGGCGATACATCAGAAATTTGATTTAAGCCGTCGAGTAAAGACAACGAGCGCGAAACGATATAGCGATATAAGACACGCAAGGATATAAGAAAACGATATAGCGATATAAGACTCTTCTCTTACGTTCCGATGTCGACTCGCGCTGGGAAGACGATGTTCGTTTCGTTATGTTGAAATGGCCTTGATTGGTGAACTGTAGAATCAGAATCAGAGTTTTGAGAACATATATCGTAGTAATCTCGCATGTTCGTTTTCGCAGCTCTTAGTTGTTTTTTTTTTTTTTTTTTTTTTTTTTTTTTTTTTTTGTAGCGACTTGATATTGTTTCTTGTAGATTATTTTCAGTGGGAATAACCTCGTGATCGATGTTACCTTGTTCTGAAGGCGATCTATTATTTAAAAGAAAATATAAAGAGGAGTTTCTTCATTAATTAGATAAGTTTTTTTTTTTAACAAAACTTTTTTTTATTTTTAAATGAGAAAATTATCGGAAATCTAATTTAAGGCGCCCATAAAGAATTAAATTTGTTTGGTAATTTTTTTACTTTCTTTTAATTTATTAAAAACTTTTTGGATAAAACTCTTAATAATTTAATAGGTTTTTATTACTGATTTTAAATTTATAAATCTTGTTGTTTTTATTTTTAGAAATAAAGTTAAAACAAAACTT